CTTCACCTGAAGAAGGCCACTTGTGTTGTGGCCGAAACGTCGTGATTTGTGTTGTTTTATTTTTTACCTACGTGACTTTACCGAATAGAACCAAAGAGTATGCAACCCACATACCCCAACGAGGACACGAATACTCTCTTATACCTGTGCTCTTTTTCCGATTCAAACCGGCGTGCGGCTCCAACAAGGTGTAAACACCCAGAACCTGTAGTGCCACCACGGTGAGCGCACGCACGAATGTGCTTACAACTAAAAAAAACACTTGAAGAGTTACATTTTAAGTTTGAAGCCAAAATATCTCCCCACTAAAAACAAGGGCGGAGGCGGTGATTATCTTTAGTGATGGCTCAGAGCCCACAGGGGAAATTCCACATTCCTTGGTGCTGGGTCAGTCTCAATAGGCCACCCAACCGTTGACTTCCTGTAATGCTACTCTCATTGTATTAAGTCCAAAGTGATGTTCAGCTGAATCGACCCCCGCCAGCTGGGATATAAACTCACCACCATTTGACTACGTGGAGAGTCACACAGAGTCACACAGCAAACAAAACGTGCACAGAAGAATATAAATAAAACATTAAAATGTGTTTTTTTAAGCCTTACAACCGTCTTTTACTTTGAGATTGTCAAGCTTTAGACTTTATTACAAGCGATGCCGAGTCACGTGGGTTTGCTGCTGGTTACTATAATTAACTCGAGTATCCGTGGGGATTTTTTCGATTTAACCCAGAAGTATTTTTTTTTAATGGGGAAGAAAAAAAGACAGGGGAAGGTACAGCGTACGGTCAGATGAGGTTGGGTGGGGGGCACGCGGAGTAAAGGAAGATGAAGTAACCCCAACAAGCGAACTCGAATCCCACACCGGGGTAATCCATGGGTTTTAAGCAGGGTACTATTGGGGGCACCACGGTGGTGAGATGTTACCTCCCTCGCCTAGTATACAGGAGGTCGTGGTTTCGATCCCGGTCATTCTTTCATATGCCATTTTTGGAGATTGCAACAGATTACAAATTGATGTCGAGATGTGATACCCAATCGACTGCTTAAGGAGTAACCGCATGGATTTGTTTCAGATTGCCATTCAATGGTCTGATTGGGCAGTCGTTCACGATATGTTGCACAGTCCGAGATGTCGCACCACAGTCACAAATGGACTCTCGTTAGGGTCGAAAGAAAAAAGAGACTAGGCTCAAAAGAAAGCTGTCTCTGGTGTGGACCAATCAGTTTCAAAGACAATGCATCATATTATCAGTATTTTTGTTTGCATTCTGACCACAAGTATTGTGGTTGATGCAGACATGATTCCTTGTAAAAGGTTTCAGTTTGGTGTTTTAAAATCTCAACACTTGTTTTGTTGCCAGAAAAAAGGGGAAAACCTATTCTCATATTTTGGTACTGGCAAAGGAGGTCCCATGATGATAAAACTTATTTTCGTTACCTTCCACATGCAAAATACTCGGCTTGGCCGAATCAAGCTTGGAACACTTCTGTTTTATTCATTTCCTGTCCACAATAACAAGTTCGATCAATGACGATTAACACTTCTGCTATTAAACCTGTAACTCTAGAAGCATTGAAAGGTTATCTTAATTTGACTAGAGTATTCTGGTTATGAATCTAAGTACAGTATGTCAGTTTTGGCTTGCAGCTACTGCTGACTTTCAACCCTTAAATATGTACACAAATAGTGAAGGCAAACGTGCCCTGTGCACTTGCGATTTGATCATGAGTGTGATCCATGAGCCAAAGCTGATAACCTTCATTGTTTTTATATTCAACTAAAGAAGTGGGACTTGGACGCAACTTAAAGACCCAGATGGGCTAAAACTATGTAATACATAAACATTACTATGTAAGAACAGTAATAGCATAAATCCGAATATTTAAAATGGTAAATAACGTGATTTTAAACGGAACATTCAACTCTAACTTATATCCATAGGCGGATTGACTTCTATATTTGGGTGTGGAGGGCAGGGATCCGCTTTGTCCCTCACATTAGGAATCCGCGGGTGCATTGAATTCATGTATTCATCTGAAATGTGAACTACTTTCAAATAAACGCATTGATACATTAATAAAGGTGTCCAGTCCCATAAAGGTGCGTCACGTGACACGCTCCCCCCCCCCCGACTCGCAGTGCGGACGTGCCACGTGACCCGGACCCCATCCACCCAGGAGTCATCGAGGCAGAGGGTTCCTTTGCGCCTCTATGCCCGACTTTCGCTTAAAATGAGTGGGAGGCGGAGGCCCTTTTCACGGCCCATCTGTCGCGTGTTGTTTGTGTTTGTATATGAAGCACAACCACATTAGGTTATCGATAATTATCCGACGAATTCGGAGTTTCAAAAACGCCGGATAATCACATTTAAAATCGCTTATTTTTGTACATTCTTGTATATGTTTTTAGGTTTTGTGTGTTTTTTTTTAAATGTTTACTATGTGGAATTGTCATGCATTAATATACAAATGGACTAATACATATCCTACTCTAAAACGTTTCTCCATTTACTGCACCGTACTTTCAACTGCAATTTCGAAGACTCCGCACGGGGTTGATGTTACGTAGCACTACTACGCTCTTGTTTCAACAGCCACGTGTTTTGACGATCGCTGAACGCAGAATTTACACGCACATTTCGCCGGATCGCACTGGATATTCAGTTTTTATCCCTGCAGTTATTAATCATGAAAGATGTATAAACGCGCAGTATTTCCATTAAGTTGTATGTAGTGTATAATGTACTGTATACCATCTCTGACACTGAAATTGGGCATAGCAACTTTGTCACGGCGTATCGATCACCAGACTGGTACAGCCTTTGGAGTGCTTTTGCTGGATCGGCCTGGGACCGCCGGATCACGTTGAAAGCCAGTTAATCGCGTGCCGGATAACAGATGATCAACTGTAATAACCATCATCTGGGTGAGATGCATGTCGCTAATTTGAATCCAGACGTGATCAGGAGAGGTAAATGCCCCATTAAGGGCCGGTAACAGATCGAGCAAGGTACTCGAGTGTACTATCTCAACACTCTCAAAGACCTAAATGTGAATTCCTGGCAAGAAACATAAGGGGCCGTCCATAAATGACGTCACGCACCTAGCAGGGGGGGGGGGGGTCAGACATTTGTGACGATGTGTGACGAGAGGGCGGGGGGGGGTGAGAAATGTGACGTCACATCAAAATGCGCAACTTTAAATAAATATAGACAACACGTTCTACTTAATTAGACTTTTTAATAAATGTTTTCTCCAACAACATCAGAATGCAGCGCCACATTAAATACGCACTACAATGACAATAGTTTAAAGCGATTTGAAGCATGTTTTATATATTATTTGGGGGGGGGGGCAGAGCTTTGTGACGTCATATTTGAGGGGGGGTCTGACTTTTTGTGACGCCGTGTGACGATGGGGGGGGGGGGGTCAAAAATCCTACAAAATCGCGTGACGCCATTTATGGACGACCCTAAGGGACGATGACATTAAAGGAATAGCCTTAGAGAAGTCGCACGCGAAGGACAGCACGCGGATGCAAAATGACAAGATAAATGGCTTGCACCCTTGACACTGCCATATACCACCCTAAACATGGCCTCACTACCTTCACCAGGCATGGCCTAAAGGTACGATGCTCTCAAGTCCACTGCCACATCGGCGACAACCATCACCAGTTGGTCATTTCACGGTCAACAATGAGTATAAGCCCCCGATATAAAGGAAGACCATCACGACCTCTGCAAGCAGCTACTCGCCTGGCGATAGACGTGGGTGACTTCAATGGGCACCACACATAATAGGGCTACTCGGGACATGAGGAAGTCGGAGAGGAGCTCGAGGAATGGTCGTCTGCACAAGACACGTTCCTTCAATATGAACACAGCCGGGCATATTTCACTCAGCCCAATAAGAACAAGGACGATAACCCCCCAACGTATGCTTCATCTCACAAGACAAGAACGCACAGCCACTAACTGCTTCGCTAACATTTTTTGGCAATTTTCCAAACAACCGACACAACAGCAGTTACGTATATTTGAATACTGAAACCGGTTATAACCTCAAAACCATGACCGCATTTAAACGTTCAGAAGGCCAACCAGCCTGGCCACGAAAAATAAACCGGAGCCCAATTGCACAACATGGTGCCAAGGCCTGGCAACCGAGATAAATTAATTACAATTTTGATATCTACCACAAAAAAACATTCCAATGTGGTATCGGAAAAGCTATAATCCATGTTGGCAATTGGAAACAGAATAACTCTTGAAAGAGTTCCATCAAATCTGGGGACCATGATAAAAGGCACTGCACTGCTGAAGTCCCTGCACCAGCGCTGGATTATGACATGCAAGGTCCCTAAGCTTTGTTAAGCTCGAGACCCAATAGTATTACCAAAAAGTGTGTATTATTCCAACAGAATGTGAATACGAGGCAGTCCTTAAAACTGCCGAACACGGCTACAGAGCCGCAAGTTGCCGACCCCTGAAAGACCATTTGCACAAAATATCTCATTCGGTTTTGAATCACCGCTTCAAATTTCTCAAAACGGGCCATTCCAATGTTGAAGCTATGGGACCTTTCTGTATTCAGAATAAAATATCATCCTTAGTCAAGACGCATCAGAGACCATTGACGTGCGGTGAGGTCAATAGCTGGGGAGGCACTGGCTTTAGTGTCAGAGCCAGATTAACACACTATCATATGTTACTGGCAAATGAGGTTTCCAATGGTGTAAATGCTTACCCCGAGCTCTTATACTCTGATGGTGCATTGTCTTTGAGTTGTGCGCCTTTTGGCGTCTTCTGGTCCAACACCATGTGAGACGAGGCTCTAAAGAAAGCTGTCTCGTGTGTGGACCAATCAATTTCAAGGACAGTGCATACATTATCAGAGTTGTTTTTTGTTTGCGTTCCGACCGCAGGTATTGTGGTCAATGTAAACATTACTCCTTGTAAAAAAAGGTGTCAGTTTTGTTGCCAGATAAAAGGGTAAAAACCCAATTATCATATTTTGTTACTGGCAAATGAGCGATTTTCTTCATTGGAGTACGACAGGTGAGGCTCTGCCTCCCCTGCCCGCACGTCCCTGCCAGAGACAAAGATCTACTTTATTCACCTGGGATTGCAGTATTCACATTTGCATAATCTATCCTCGCAGAGGAGGATGTGGATGCGTGCGGTTGCTGTAGTCTTCCTCTCTTCCAGTGAAATAACTGTCAACTTTCAGTCAATGTTTTAGCTTCCCTTCAAATCAGCTGCTTATTTCTCTCTTCTGACATCCACTTCCAAAATTCCTCTTCATTAAAAAAAGCCTCTGGATAAAATGATAAATAAACGTAAGACAAATTCATTGAACTCAATCCTGTGTTTACAAGTAGAAATATAAATAAAAATTGACTGAACGACGAGGTGGTATAAGTTTATTTAAAACGGTGTATTTAAAACAAAACAAATCGTCACAGAATTTTCAAGTGATTAGATGATATCACCATGATTATGAGGTTATTCATTTAAATTTAAAACAATGTTCCCCAACATACTTTGGCAAAGTAATCATAGCTTGTTTAACTTCTTAAAATACCCACAGAAATAGCTCAATATAAATGTAATATATTTCCAAATAAAACCATGATCACTGCCTTGCAAAACTAACCGAACAAAGGTAGTTTTTCAAAGCGCAAAGTGAAATGCATGATCAAATCGCAGAATTTCTATTTCGGTGATTAAAAGTGATGCTGAACACATTGTCGCTTTACTAAACAATTCCAAACAGGTTAAATTTACGACCAAGAATATGCAATGTAACCTTCACATAAGATTTCTATAAAGTAAATTCAAGAGATGCCATTTGCTTACGCAGAAATACTGCTAAGACATTTTTTTTTCTACTTCAGAAGAACAATTTTATAAATTGTCTAGTACCACAGTTCTATACATACCCTTACTGTTATCCATTTAATATAAATAACCAGAACTGGGCCATTAATAACTGTGCAAGGTCTTATGTTCCAGCACTTTGTATGAGGTTGACTTTCCTCCACAAAATTCGAATATATTTTCAGATCATTTTCATTTTGTATAAATGTTAAGTTTCTTTGTGAGAATAGTGATGCCCGCTTTAGACGTGAAAAACACAAGTGATGTTATAAAAGTGACATTTCCAGTTTTAGGATACAATAAAAAAAATCATTTTGAGCAATATTTCACGAGGCTTGATTTTTGGGACTAATCCGAAACTCGGGAAAACATCTCTAGTACCTAATATACAGACCACAGTGGAATGATTGGTTGAGTCAGCTCCCATAGGATTTTAAAAAATTCTATTACCAGCATAAATATTCAATGTAGCTCGGTAGCTCAGGAAACTGGGCCGGCACCAGTCAGATCCTGGGTTTGGGTCCTGTATTGCATTTTAAAGTCTCGGCCCATTGACTGGAGAATGCACAAATCCTATCGTAAACAAATACCATTCTAATTGCACTTATTTCCAGTGCAAATCACGATCTGTCGGCCTAATCGGCGGATGGATATTGAATGATACCCATCACTCCTTTGCGCAGCTTAATGTGCACAGTCTTTAACTTGCCTCAACAGGCCATCGAAAACACTTTGCAATTGGTTCCAGTCATCTCTCCAGCCATGTTGTGAACGTGGCAACATCTGTACTGCCTGCTTTTAGAGATTTTCTTTGCTCACAATGCTGGTAACACAATTGAGGTGCAATCGGGTAAGAAATAATCCATATATAACAGCACAATTTTTGAAACTCTCAATAAACAAAAAAAATATTTTAATATCATAGAAGCATGTCTCCCAGTAAAGTTGTTCTGGTTAACTACCTGAGGATTCCCAAAGATGCTACTTCAGTTGGCAATCACCTTCCTGCCCTGCTTTCATTTCCCCAGCTCAGGCAATCAAAACGGCGGTCTCAATTGTCTGAAAAGGCTCGACAACAGGGACCCTTGGCTCCCCGTACCGAACACGCTCTTCAGAGCCACCCAATTTGTTTGACATCGCATATTGCATGTTAAGAGATTATATATAATAAAAGCGTCTCCCTGCGAAAGCTCGCATGGGGCAGTGCTCGGCTATACGGGTGGCCCATGTGTGAATTCAACATTCGCATACGTAGAGAGTCCGTCTTTCCTTCGGCAACTACTCTTGACAACTAAGTTGCACCTAATTTATGGATACCAGACAAATGATGGGCTATGTTGACCCCTGACTAGAATTTAAACTTTCAGCTTTACCGACTTTTTGTCAGGCACCTTACAAGTGCCACTAGGACTGATAGTAATGTATTACAAATAATGAGTATATACGTTATTTTATATATTAGAAGACCGCATAATTTTTGTTTATATTCTGTAAAGCAAATCTATGTCCCCAATGTGAGAATCAACAACCTGCATGTTAGCGACATCTGTTTTGTCCCGAGCACCATAACACCTTGCAATCAAAATACATGTGCATAATATTAAGCCAAGCGACAACTTTTATATGTTCCAACATGAGAGACATACAGTAATTAAAAGATGACTATGATGGGGATGATGATGTTACAAGGGTATCCACCTGTCTGCGGTTGACCAAGTCTGGTAATTGGCAATTGTGGGTGGCAGGAATTGAAGAGCGCAGAAATCTGATGGTAGTATGTTGAACTTTAATAGCGTATACGACAGCACAGTCTTTTTAGACCTGGGCTGATTGAGAAACGTCTGTGTATAAGGTGGCATACCTTGTTATGATGGTGATGCTGCATGAGATGATGTTATGATGGTAATGTCATTATGGTTATGATGCACATGATAAATAACTTGTAAAGAATCTCTACAGGTTAACAATGGCTGCTCCCCTCTCAACAACACATACACAACCGCTGTTCACCACACTAAGTGGCGGTGACGTCACCACGTTGCACGTGAAGTGTCGAAGGCCTGCTGGCAGGTCACAAAAGAGACCCAGGTGCCATGGGTTGACCGACTGAGACTACTGGCAGATGCACCGTGCTTCCCCACTGCCAACTTTTTGTATTTTATCCACCCAGTACCGCTCGTGAGCGTCGCACCTCTACCGTTTGCTCTTTCTGGAGGGTGACTGCCTCTACCTCCCCAGCAGTGTCCTTAACGCTCCTCCTCCTCAGAGGCCGATCTTGACACTGCTGGTACCAGTCATCGGCAAGTTAATTCAGCTCCACATCATTCTGTATCACATCAGTACATCTCTTCTCTAGTCCGTTCCACGCCCATTTAGCCCTATCTGTCCAACCAAACAGAAGCTGCTTAGACATGCGGTGGCTGGGCATGTGGATTACATGACCCAGCCAAAACAACCTCGCATGCTAGAGCTCACCTGATGGGACAGTCCAGATCTTTCAAAGATCTGTGAGGTCCTCACACAATCCAGTATGGTTAAAACCCAGGATGGATCGTGGACAGGATAAGCCTGAATGTTCCTTTTAGAGGGCTCCACTTTTTGCAAGTGCAGAGAAGGGAGGGTACAGCTGTGGCCGAGAAGACACACACAGACTCCTCGATCACCTCTGGCAACGCCACAAACTCTAGATAACATTTCGCCAGAAGACAGGGTAGACGGAGGTAACCCCCTGTGTGTCTCCGTGTGACCGTGTCCCCTGGTATGTATTTGCTTGTCTCCTTGTTTCTGGTTAGCATTTAAGGATGTCATTTAGATATTGATTCAATGTGTTTTTGTAAAGACAAGGTTTAGTATTAAAGCTAAAACTACTATATCTTAAACCCACTTTGACATTCAAAAATGTCACTTAATATTAATTTACAATAATATAAATTAATAAACATTATTGTGCTTTAGAGCTAAGGTTTATGTTACAATCAAAGCTTGGGTTAGTCTTCACATTAGCGATAGAAACAAGGCTGGGAATAGTATTCGAGCTACGGATGGTTGTCAGGGTTATTACACACATTACATGAACCGACGCTGTTCATTCTAAGCATAGGGTTGGCATATAAAGGCAGCAATTAAAGGAATGTACACTATTTTAAACATATTGCTCATCACATCTATCGTACTGAATTCCCATTGCACTTTTCAAATACACATTCCAAGTCAAAGCGTCTTCCTTCTCAGGTAAGTAGGAGCTAATTTTTCTTCACATGTAAACTCCCAGAGGTCTTCAGTTTGAGGTCCGACAGTAAAATATTGTGCATCACAGAAAGAATGTGCGGTGAGCTATGCCACTTTCAATAAAGCCTAAACATTGAGTAAAATTAGTGTCAAGTTTGAACACTGTGCAAAAATACTATTCATGGGATTTTGTGATCCCAAATTCAATAGAAGTTACTATCTTCTAGATTTACCCGTCTGAAGTTTTCACTGCACACTAGATTCAGATGGTGATCTACTCATGCAAGTACATTCAGCTTGAGTTGACCTCCACGGGACCTGTACTTGGTACATATCCCAATTGCCACATTTGCACAATAAGCGACTGAGTTCATCAAACTAATGGTAGGGTCACAACAAAGTACCTACACATGCACGCACGCACGCACGCACGCGTACACTCACCATAGTGACTAATGCCCACCTATAACGCTCTTCTCAGGTTCTCTAAGAGCCTTCAGTATACGAGGCATTAAAGGGTTTCTCGAAAGGCTATGATTCCACGAGGTTCTTACAAGAGATGTCAACGAGGCTCATCTACGCATCACCATACTATGGCTCCTCTAAGCGACTCTAATACAGTCTAAATGAGGCTTCTTCTCTCACAGGACCTGTAAAAATGTCATTTGACGCCCGTTAAAATGATGCTTCTTAATGAGGTTCTTCTATGGGTCTCCCCTCTGAAGCTCTTCTACAAAGCTTCTCAATAGGCTTCTCTAAGCACAGCTACATTGCATCGCTGCTCACACACACACGGACACTCGCACACGTGTACATGTGTGTGTGTATATGCAAAGAGCGTAGAGTCGCATCCTAGATGCCCTTGAAGGCGTCCAGGTGGAATGCCTTTGCCAAGAAGCGCTCCGACTCCATGTTGTGCAAGTACTTGTTCCCTGTCGCCGGAGCAGATGCTGCGTCACGGCCCACGTACCTGTCATGGTTTGGGGAGGGGAGGAATTTGAAGAGGTCGGGAGAAGGTTGGTGGTAGATGAGGTGGCGGTAATGGCGGTGCAAAGGAAGAAGAGTTCAACTTGTAAGTTACACAGCCATAGAAGTGCTTTTTATGCTTGGTTTGTTGTCCTTCCCCTGCACCTCCAATTAGCACGGTTGGCTACATATGGTGTGAAAGAAGTTCAACATACATACATGAACCTTATTGACCCTCTGTAATCATTATCAGTTTTTGAATTTTTCCTCTGGAGAGACTAGTTCCTACCATAGGAATGTGAAATTTCCATCGCGGGCTGTTATCAGCGGAGATTGTGGCCATTACGTTGCATGTATAATGCTCTCAGCCTTGTCTAGACCACCAGCTCAAAGGAGCTGAATGACAGAGACAAAACCTAATGCGTCTAGGTGGGAGGTGGGGGGGGGGGGTGTGGTAGGGGCACAGGGAGAGTGCGTGGGAGGGTGACGTACCAGAGCGGGCGTGACTGGGAGATGGCCGTGCGTACACGTGGGTGCACGTGCGCAAAGAAGCCCTGGTTCTTGTGCTCCTCCTGGCACCAAACGAGTTCGGCCGCCGGGTAGCGAAGCGCCTCATCGCGCACCAGGTCATGTGGGAATGGAGACAGCTGCGGACATGAAGAAAAACCCATCATCAATGTAAGGACACAGCAACATAAGGATGCAACATTGGTGATGCACACCACACATTTAATGTTGACAGTCTCAGCTGAAAGATCAGGCAGATGTTGTCAACACAGCCAATACCGTCCATCTCACCACATCTCACCACCACTTTCCTTTCTTCGGCCGAATCCTGCAACTCCTGCAAAGTTGATGCCTGCCCCTCCATTTACACTCTTGCAGGCGCAACGCTGCGATCCGATTTCAGCTTCTCCTCTTGGTGACTTTCTCAGGGCGCAAACTCAACACCCTGCCATGGCATGGCATTGCTCTTTGGGCAGGACATTTGAACTTGGCTTTTGAGCATTGCTGCTGATCTCAGACACGAGTCTACTTTCGTTATTCATTGAATCTAGACCACTAGGATAGAAAATTGTAAAAATAATTTTTCTCATGAATGGCAACCTTGCTGCTCTACTAAAAGCCGCTTCTCAGGGCAGACTGTCTCACTGCTTGACCGTCTGACAACTTGCTGCACAAACAGAGCGGTCATGTCCACAGGTGCCAGGAGAGAGTGAGTGGCGAGACCCACCTGCTCCAGGCGGCAGATCGCCACGAGGCCCTGCATGCCCCGCGCGTCTCGCTCGCGCACCAGGTCGTAGTAAACCTTGCCGCAGCAGAAGATGAGTCGCCGCACCTCGCCAGGGTCCTTTGCCGCGGGGCCCTCCTCCGGGATCACGCGCCGGAACGACGTCCCTGCCGGGCGGACGGGGGGAGGTGGTGGTGGGTGGGCAGCACGAGGAAGAGTCTAGATACCTGGCATAGGTGATGAAGGTTGTCTCGACTAGGCTTCAGCACGCCAGTCAGTTGTGGGTTGGTGAAGGTGGTGAGCGTCCGGAACCGGTTTAGATACCACTCGCCACTAACGTTAGCTTTGGACAGGAATCGAACTGAGGCTCTCGAGTTGAATGCGGCGCACGAACCACTGTGCCACCGGTTTAACACGTAGGCTTTCGCAACCAATAAGCATCCATAATATAGTTTGTTTTGGGTTATATCGCGTCAATAACGACACATTTATATTTACAAGATCTAACCCAAAAAAAAAACTATGTTACACTGTGCCACCATTCCCCCTCTGGTCTAGTTTACTGAGGTGTTGCTGATGTAACAGGCCACTGGCAGGGTTTTAGCTTAACAAGCAGACTTTGTCTGAAATGTTAGATTATTTAATATTTTTCTGTCCTATGGCAGTGTTAATGGTGACCTGGCATGATGTGTGCTTATGCATTTTACTTACACATTTAAAATGTTATCTTAATTTGAACTCCAAATATTCTTCTCAGGACGATGTCTTTGCAACCAGAAACCCCAAGTAAATGAGGTGTGCTCTCTCCTGTTGTTATGTGTGAACTTGTCTCATCTCCTGCTCCGGAATCGTGCAATGCCGTGTTCGTGAAACTCTTTTTTCAAACCACAGTAATTCTGTATGTGTGCCCTGCATTTCAAAGGAACGCACTGTAGCATGCAATCTCCAACCAATACCAGTAAATCTCCTTGGTTTAACTCTGTTCTGATCAGGGCCAATTCCTATGCCCTTCATGAGTTTTGTTTTAAGACTGGGTTAATAATCCTGTACAGGCCTTTGTTAATCCACTGCTGGATGAAGGTCTCCCCACACTGTCACCATGGGGATGTCAGAATAGTTTGCATAGGTTAGTTGTAAAAAGTTTTTTTTTTATGATAACCAGAGCTAATGGGTTATGTCAGTTTCATGGAAAAAGTAGTTTCACAAGTCTCGTATTTACATTAGATACTTAGTTACATGTAGTCTAATGAGTTTAGTCTTCAATAATAATAATATTGGCTCCATCAATGGATAAAAAATAATAATAACAATGGGCTTTAAAGTAAGTTTGACACCTGTGATAACTTTTGCATTTTCACACGTAATACCTTCATACGATGCGCATCAATGTTTGCCATCAGACAATGGTCCATTGTAGACGGATTAAAAAAATAAACAACCCCTGTATTCTATGCATGCACCACTCACGAGTTCACCAGGCCCCCCACCCTGCACGTGTTTGACTGCGGTGCCGGTGTTTGGAACGCACCGGGCATCATGTCGGCGAAACTGGAACGCGCCTCGGGCAGCCGCAGGAGCGACTTGGGCGTGGCCAGAATGAGCTGCGGAGATGACACAGTGTGGGAACGCGCACGCGACACGTGAACGTTACACTACGTCAGTGACGTAAACACGGCTCCAAGAGGTGGAAAGTGGCAAATGCTGTTCAGTAGTTAGTCGACGAGAAGTTGCGCGAGATCAGCAGGGAGCGAAGTGGCGGAAGGGGCAGTTACTGCTGATTTATTCTGGGGTCACAAACCGGCTTGCGGAAGGGAAGGAGGATCTGCCTCCTGAGGATGTGGAAGTAGTTGGCAGGCGTCGAGCAGTTGGCCACCGTCCAGTTCGACTCGAAGATCTGACGCACGTCAAAGTGCTCACCAATTTTCTGCAAACACGCGTGCAGATACACACACAAGAGACACATATGCAGATACACACACGAGAAGATATGGAGCATGGAGACGCACACTTACCATCTCACTTTAACTGTATTATTTCCCTGGGTACGGTGGCGCACGCCTTGTGAATCGGGTAGAGATCACCACGTGTCAAGATTTACCAACCTCCTGGGGCTGCAATGTGGCCAACAAGTGGGCTGCTGAAATATTTTCGTGGAATGTGTTCGTGTTATCTTCACGTTTTTTCTAGGTTTTATCCAGCTACTCTGGTTTAGAACCACATAAAAAAAATCAAATAAACGATGATTGGCTCGGTAAAGAATTGACCGTACTTCGCAAGTAGGACACTTTAAATGAGCGTTGAGACTCAGCTGGGGCTTTCCTGGGTGAATAATGAAGGTTAATGGACTGTCAGACATTGTTTCGCCAAAAGAGGCATTCAACTCACAATCGAAAGGTCGCGAGTTAAACTCTTAGTCATGGGTTCTCGCTAACATTGTCATTTGACTTATCACCGGGCATGTTTACCACAAGTACACTTTGGCATTTCTGCAATATTTCAATCTCAAATTGTCCTGCCAGCCTTTAGACAGACAGCATCACACCCCAATCGGTAACAACTCCAGAAGACACAACATGGGAATATATACATACCACCTTGAAGGAGGTATATATAATAATAATAAAAATACCCAATAATTTTATACAGAAATCCCTCAAGACTAAGATTTGGTGTGAAAAAAGTCCAAAGCGACGGGTCTGCTACTAACGCTCACCACACTCACCACGCTCACCACTCCCACCACGCTCACCACTCCCACCACGCTCACCACTCCCACCACGCTCATCACTCTCACCCCACGCTCACCGGACCGAGTCGTTCTAGTCGTGGCGTCGCTCCACGTCTGCTGAAATTGGACCATTCGATACGGCAATTCGGCTCATGTCGAATTATTACTATACCGTATATATGCCGAAAATGCAGCCATGCCGAATTATCTCCAATTACGAATTATCAAACACCTTATTTTACTCACGTTTTGTATACACGTTATTTAATGAATACATTGATGGGGCAATGAAGACTGGTGTACGCCGTGCGATCTGCCATTGCTCGAGCACGGTTATTCAACTCACGGTCAGTTATGAGGATTACGAATGTTTTTTTTTTTTACACGATGAGATTGCAATTCCGAACCGGAAAGACATCTGGGTCGTCGGTGCACATCTGGAGGAACCGCTCCAGCCGTGCAGAGGAGTGCTCTGGACCCTGTAAGGCGCACACACACACATACACGGAAAAATAAATTATCCTCATGAAGTGTGTTTGCTACTATGTAACCATTGCCCTTAACACTCACACACAACACATACGGTGCATGCACGTAAAGGAGAAAGGCAAAGATCTCCAGTGCAGCCTTTCACAAACCCACGTGGTCAAGGGCTGCTGGCGAGCACATATTGTAGACAACATGGGATCGTTAATGGTCAGGCCACGGTATCGGTCTCCCCAGTGCTGATGCTTACACACCTCACCAGGCACTCATTTGAAGGCTGAGTTGGCCTTAGGTAGGCCCCGCACCAGCTCAGATATCACTCGCTACTGCTGTTAACTGTGTTAGCCAGGGAAATTAACTCAGGCCACTGGTTTCTGAAGTAACAAAACGCCAATACCCAAGCTTCCATTTAGCTTCACAACCTGTAGATGCAAGTGCTGTTGACAATCCATTGTCAAAAGTGTTTTATCCTCTAACAAGCTTGGGGTGGGGCTGATTTCAGTTTGTATCTCTGAGCCAAAGGTCAGAATTCTATATTCATATTCCAGGGAGAAATGTGTCTGCAGAACACAAAATAGTGTTCATTGCAATGACCCAGGACAGAAGAAAGGCTAAATCAACACACAACGATTATTTCAAATTATGACCTTTTTATAAGCAGCTTAAATCAAATACTGTTAGTGAGCACCTATTAAAGCCAAGAGAGCATGAGAAGGTGGGGTGAGGAGAGGACCACACCCTGCTATTTTCATCTCCCCAGTGCAGACGTTAATGCACGATGCCTGTTATTGATTTACAATAGGATTGGGAGAAATCAGGGCAGAATCGAATCTGCATTTCAGGTTCCAAATCTGAAATCAAAGCCGAGTATCACTTTGTGAGAAGTCAACAGTGGTCGTGGTAGAGATAAAGAAGTCTCCACCAAAGGAAAGTGGAAATTCCATTGCCGGTTAAGGGCCACCAGCACAGATTAACTCCATTCGACATTTCTGTCCATATGGGGACACTTTTACTCCGTCTTACACGCTGCATATAACACGGAGGGATTGCTAAAAAAAGATACGAATGGCTCTACCAGTTGTTGCAAGGTGCCAAGACCGTACCATTCCCTCCATGCCATGCGGGAGTAGCAGGACAATCCCATTCTGCCGCAACCACTTGGCCTGGCCCGAGGAGATGAACTGGTCGATGATGCACTGTGCCATGTTGTTGAAGTCACCGAACTGTGCCTCCCAGCACACGAGCGCGTGGGGGCTGGACATCGCGAAGCCCAGCTCAAAACCTGCGTAAGACACCGTGCGTACGTGCACGCACAGACAAGTGATTGAACAAGCACAGCTAGTTTTTAATGGGTGGCTGCTGCCAACGATGTCATCCAGCAGCATTTATCGTCACACCATCACCGTTGGTGATCACAGCGTGTCATCAATATCATCACCAAGACAGTTTGGCCGCACCGCATGTCTATTTGGTGAACACCAACCTCTCCCACAGCCAAGTGCAGACAAAATAAGTGCAGAATGTAGAGCGCTGCCATCTGTCATTGGTGTCGTCGGGGTGGGGCGGATTTCAGGAGTAGTCGCACCACCACCAGGTCGATATCCGGAGAATATGCCTCTCTTGGGTTTGTGGGTGCTACCAAGCTTGACACTGCAGTAGCATTGAAGCTTTAAGGCTGAAAAAGTATTCAAACCTAATGTTCTATAATGAATTTTGAACCGATTGCTTTCGGACTCACAGTTGGAAGGTGGTAACTCCATACTCAAACAAGTATGGATCGATGTTTACATACTTTGGTAGCCCAGAGCCAGTGATGGAAATTCAACATTTCTATGATGGACACCAGACTCTCTATATGACAACCGTAGTTGATTTTACACAAAGTAGTCCACATTTTACAGACCCCCCAGAGAGTTATTAGCAGGTTGAGAATTTCTTGCAATTTCTTATATGGAAGCTACGATATCAAAACTACTGTGTTGCCATATCACGCAATCTATTGGAATGAGGATCTTCAATGCACAAGTGGCGTATCATAGATTGTGTGGCCTGCGAGTCGTGGCCACGAATCCCCAAAATCATTGACCACATTATAAACAGCCGCCACTGCTGTCTTCACTTATTTAAAGGAGGAACGGACGAGATCCACTCTGCTTCTGAACAAACGATTGAGTGAATAACAAATGAAAAAACTATTACATCTTTAATCTGCTGTAGTTAATCCATCCCAAACAAGTATTGTAATGTAGTATTTGGATTCGCTGTACCAGCTGTAGTGGTGCGCACGCGTGTCTGTGCATCACCACACCATACCTAGGACCCCGTACTCGGACAGGGAGCTGTTGCACACAGTGTAGGGAGCTTGCGATGGCCACAGATTTTTCATGGGAACCAGAGTCTTCTTGTCCACGTTTTGATCATGCAGAACATGGTGCCGATGGCTGTAGGAAGACACGCATGTTATGCAGTGTTACCTGTGGCGATGGCTGTGCTTTGCAAAGAGCTACTCGTACAATATTTAGCTTATTCGGCACTGGCACAGTGGCAGGGTGCCTCACACAAAATTAGAAGGCTGTCCCACAATTCCTCTAAGGTCAATACAATATGTACCGCTTCATGGGAATATGAAGTGGTCATCCGATGGAGACACCGGCCCACTTCATAGGAATGTAGAATGTCTGCCATTGTCTCAGGTTTAGCTACAGAGCTGAATAGCTGAACCAGACCCTGTTCGGGATATAAACTCGTGACTCGATGATTGCGCTGACATGCACAATAACCACAGCACCACCTGGCCAGGTAAACCCATGTAGGATCTTCAAAACAGTAAGGTTAATCTTGGAGAGTAATCGAGCCAAGATTCAACTGGGAGCCAGCATACAGACCTAAAGAGAGATGTAGTTGCAATTACGGGTGATAGTTGGCAACAAGTCTACCAGCAATCATTCCAGGATCACGCAGGGTACAAAGACACCTCTGGATGCCAAGCCGTCAGGACTCGGCACCGGTCATCTCACCTGAAGGTCCCCCTCTCCACGTCCTGGCCACTCAGACGCACGTGAACGCCCTCCTTGAGCAGCGAGCCGAATGCCATGTACTCAGCGAGCGCCCAGTCGGCCGTGCGGTTCTTCACCATCTCGGCGCGGGAACGCAGCACGCGCATCAGGCCTGGAGAGTGGGGAGACGGACAGGTGGTGGAGGAGGCAGGGGTCAGAGGGCACAAGGGTACAGCTTTACCTATTTCACAGTTTAACAAACAAGACAGGCAGCTATGATCTGCTAGATGTGACTTTGGGTTTGCGTCTCACATACAAATAAAAAAAAAATACTCCGGTTATGATCAAGCACATGACTAATTGATCTCTAATGACACTTCCATACGTTCAAATTCCTCAATTCAATCAGGTCACTCAAAGCGAAGGCTGGAACATGCCGCCCAGGTGTGTGTGTTCCTTTGAGGAGACCGGACAGAGTCCCCACTCATCCTAACCCAATAAACTTCCACTCCGCAAGGCTGAGGAACGACGTTTCATAAGTTCTGCTTTACACCAAGTTCAGTGGTCAGGGTGTGCATTGGGGCGAAGGTTTAATATATGTGGAGCAGCTGCATCTGTTAATTAACGAACTCAAGCGAGTGCTCGAGTGAGTGGAGCGGGTGGCGTGGTTGGCTCACCTGGGTGGATGTTGAAGTCCGGAGCTGGCACGGAACTCGCGGCTTTGCCTATGTGCTCGAGGATTTCCTCGGGGACACCCGACGGCGGGGTCCACATGCTCTGCGGTCGACCATCCGGCCCGAAAAACCCTACAAGGCAGATTCATACCGTGGGGAGGGGTGGGGGCAAAGCCAGCGGTGTTAATCTATCCACTCTTTGTAGCCCAGTGCCTGGGATCCTCTCATTTGGTGGCCCAAGTGCAGTTGCATCTCCTATACACCCTACAGCTACATCACCGGATAGGAGGGAGTTGAATGCTATTTTAAAAGAGCCCGTTAGGATGCAGTAATTTACATAGGGCCCATTAGTGTGTGACATGTGGTATCCACGTCAAGTTCAAGGAGCATTTGGGTGGAACCGAGGTTTTTTTGGTAGCCCTGACATAGCGTTAAAAATTTCATATCAACGTGACGGGGATCAGTCTCTGCATAAACAAAGGGCTGAGTTGACCCTGATGTGGGATTATTCGGGTCTGCCATCACATCCAGCAAAACTAGAGCTAACTTCAGTCGTAATGGTGACTGGCATTTTAGACACCTCTAGTAAGAGCCCTGCACAGCAATGAATAAATTAAGCCACTGGTTGTTCAGCAGCGTCCTATACCGTGCCAGGGAGAGTCGATCCACTGGCTTGTCCGTTGCAATTTCTCATCCTTGGAGCTGGCGTACGCATCTTCACATATCTGGTCGAATTTGGACACCTCTGTCTGTCGGCGAGCAATGCCAGACAGTGAGCAGGAGGGAGAGAGGCAGAGCAGAGGTGATTAACTTCATAGGAGCAGTTTTCTCACCACCGTCGTCAGTAACACTGCCTTAGAACAGAACATCTGGACACAATACAATGAATACCACATTGTAGGAAGCACACATTTGTTGTTTTATGGATAAATCAGTCCTTGCCGTGCTAATGTGGAATTTCCACCACTGGCCCAGGGCTCTAAACAGGATGAGTAGGGGTCCTTCCACCAGCAGTGGCATGAGCAACAATTGCAGAGCTGCACTTTCACTTTATGCTCATGAAGCACAGATATAAGTGTTTGAAATTAGCATGGAAATGTATGCAAACTAGAAGTAAATATACCTTCTAGTTGATTGACCGAATAAGATAATGTACAAAGGAGACACTACAAAATGAGACACTACAAACAAGACGTAAAATAATCAAATCTTGCATCATATTTGCAACCCCGGATTGTGGCAATTCACGGAAATGCAGGGAGGTGCAATGACTTAGGATTTGAGATCTCCCCCGTAGCCAGACGTGACTCCTAAAAAAACAAACGATCTCATAACCCGGGTACCTTGTACTCCTGGCCCGTGATGACCCCTTCCTTGATGAGGGCATCAGAGTATTGCTTGAGCACAGGCACCTGCCGTGCGACCCGCTTGTACATGAACGGCTGCGTGAACATGGGCTCGTCAACTTCATTGTGGCCATTCCGGCGGTAGCCAACCTGCGATCGACACCAAAGACAAAGCCTTAACAGACTGTTGGGGCAAGTGCTTTTGAGCGAGCACCTACGAAGACCGGCATGGCACACGAGGGGCCTGGTGGCCAACGCCACGCCCGGCCGCCTTTGTCTCCCCAGTGGCGATTTTTACACACTGCACCAGGTACTCATTTGAGGCTCAGTCGACCTAGGGGAGGCCCATAACCGGTTCAAATAATCGTCACTGGTGTTTGCCTTGAGCAGGGATCGAACTCGGGTCGCTGGGTTCGTAGCGCCCCGTGCTAACCGTGACACCAGCGCTCCCCACGCCACGATAAACACCACATATGCACGAACCGACACTTTGACCGTTACCTCGCCAAAAGTTGTAATAGATGAACAGCTACTTCCATTCTTTGATTTTAGCCGTGGCGGTTGGTTTCGTAGTGCAGCACGCGAAACCACCGCGCAAAACCGCTCCAACCCCCCACGCACGTCGCGGGCTCGCGGGGGGACACACAGAGCCACTCGGACCCACCAGGTCGACGACGACGTCCTTGTGGAACGTGTTCCTCCACTCGGCCGCCACGCGACACACGTGCGTCACGGCCTCGGGGTCGTCGGCGTTCACGTGGAAGATGGGCGCGTTGACGACGCGCGCCACGTCCGTGCAGTACGGGGACGAGCGCGACGAGCGCGGGTCCGTCGTGAAGCCGATCTGTGACGGGCCAGGGCGATGGCGCAGGCCAGCGAGGGCAGGAGAGTACGGGCGGGCGCATTGACAAAAAAGGCACGGGCTTACGCGCGTACACCAAACATTAATGTGCAGTTATCCCCACCACCACCACCACCCAATACGGCCAATTAGTAAGGTTTGTCATGTGAACAAAACCGCGCCAATTAGTTACTACTTCAGCACACCGGTATGTTGGAGAGTAAACACACAACATTTACAATTTGACTATGATGTTTTGCTGGTGATTACAACCAGCTTCATCAGGCGATTTGCCATAATTGTGAAGAAGTCTTCCTGTGTCGGTCTATATTTAAATAGTGGCAGTGGGTAAACGACATTTTAGATTTACGCGCATGCACGTATGTCGGGGCAAGTGTTGTTAGCGAGCACCTATGAAGGTTGGCTAGGCGCCCAAAGGGGTGATGTGGCCAACATTGTCTGCACATGGGGGTGGTTTGGCCAGCCGTCGTGTAAATATATACACGTTTACTGCATACGTGCACACATACCAAAAAGCATACGCATAAAAATTATCAAATTTACACAAAGTTGTCACATGTAGCCTATAAATATTGTTTTTGCCAAGGGCTCTAGTGAGCGCCTATAAAGGGGTGGTTTTGCTAACACCACACCCAGCCACCTTTGTCTGCCCAGCACTGGCATTTACACACCGCACCAGACATTTATTCCAGGGTGAGTCCACCCTAGGGAGGCCCAGGACCAGTTCAGATATCGATCGCCGACGTCGGCCGCGAGCGGGAATCGAACTCTGTCCGCCAGGTTCGTAGCGCAGTGCGCTAACCACTACGCTGCCTCACAGACATGCACAGCCGTAAGTACATCACACCTGGTTATTAACGACCAGGTGTATGGTGCCGTGGGTGGTGTACGCCGGCAGGTCGCTCAGATGGAACGTCTCGTAGACGACTCCCTGCCCCGCGAATGCAGCGTCCCCGTGTATGAGCACAGACATCACCTGGGGGCACAACAGAGCAGCACAATCAAAACCGAAGAATACGATTGGGCACAATACATTCCGGCACGACACAGGACAATATAATACAGCACATTATAAATCTGCACAATACAATGTTACAGCACAATACAGGACAAAACGACAAAATGCACATTACAATACAGTTCAATGTATTGCAATGCAACATTCAACACAGCACAATACAACACGGCAGAATAAGAGGACGATACCATACAATAATCCATAAGCTAACAGTACAATACAGCACAATACATTACAGCACAAAATAATTTATCCAGAACACAATACAATGTAATATTCAGCGCAACAACGTGCCGCTTCTTCAAGAAACCACAGTACGGTTTGTATGTATGTTGAACTTCTTCTTTCGCACCGTACATAACCAACCATTAATATCGGAGGTGTGGAGAAGCGGAGGTTTGAGGCAAGGCATCAGGACAAACCACACCTTGAGTCAGGTGATGGATTCGGAGGGAGAATAGAGAGTGATGGTAAGGTAAAACAGGTCACACAGCTGGCTTTCGCCTTGGTTAGGCTCTGGCATAGCTTCCCAAGTAAATCTGGCCATGCAGAGGCACTGGCTAATTAAAGTAACACATTTTCCCAAAGATAATAATTTCGGAGGGGCCTACATATAGAGATGTTTGGCCAATTCATGTTTCAATGCAGTATTTTGCATGTGGAAGAAAACTAAAGAGCATGCAGAGAAAACCGATACGTACAAGGGGATAACACACTACACAAAGCAGGGTCATGAACTCTAAAATAAACTAAATAATTTTTTATTTCTCAAGGTAAGGCCCACTAAGCAATATAGCTCTTTTTTCAGAAGCGACCTGGCCACAAATGATAGCTCCACAAAGTGGCTTATCGCGTGGAGATTTATAGTGGCCACATACTCTAAAAAGCACGTTTCTAAATGTGGAGGGAAAAACCGGAGGACCCGGACAAATATCCATGTGCCCACGGGGAGAGAGACATGCAAACTCCAAATATGTAGGCGTCAGGGTCGGGATCGAACTCGCGACCTCCTGTATACCAGGCGAGGAAGTTAACATCTCGCCACCGTGGCGTTAACACAATTTTCTCAAGTTTAGTTCCATGGGCACATGATCCACCAACACTTAATCTACTCAAGTGCTGGATTCCACAGCAAGGCCGGCCAACGCGTGAAGGCACAAGCCTGTGAGAGCCCGCCTGCTGCCCTTCACCTGCTTTCCCTCGGTGTCGCCGCGGTAAAACTGCTCGGCGCGCGTCTTGCCCTGCACCACGGGCCCCACGGCCTCCAGATGCGACGGGTTGGCGACGAGCGACAGCTTCAGCTTGCGGCCCGACAGCCGGTTGATGTGCTGATGCGACATGCCCAGGTGGTACTTGACATCGCCCGAGCCCTGTTGTGGATGAAGAAGTTGGACGGGCGGGGTTACAGCCACGACAACCTGCGATAAAAGCCGCCGCACAGGGAATCATTTGGCCAAGCCAGGCCACAGCTTCAAAATCTTCAGTGGGTTACAGTGCCCTCAATGCTCATTCCCTCCTCCGTAATGCATGTCATACGTCTGCAACTGTTCCAGTTTATACTTTGTGTTATTCCGGATGCCCGATCTGGCCTATGTAACATTGTCTGAATTTAATTTTCACTTTATTTATCCAGGTCCACTTCTGAGAGTGGTTATTTTTTTTGCCGGCACTGTCCGCGCATTTGCGCGGGATACACTCCTGGGGTGGTGGGGGCGAGAGGAAGCCGTCACCTCAGTGCGACGCGCGAACCCCTGAGTCAACGCCACGGGACGTGGGCGGCGCCATCACGCAGGCGAGCGTGGCGACGTCACCACCGCACTTCTGACCTGCCCACGCGCCAGACAGCTGCACTTTTTTTTTTATAATATAGTATGACAATTAATGACTGAAATATGGCAAACCACTCTTTAGAAAGAATGAAGGGGCGTTGTCTAGTGTTGGGGTTAGAGAGGTCGTCTGCCGAGGTAACTCGAGAAAAAGTTTTTGTTGTGTCATGTTCAGGGGCCATTCCCTGGACATGGTGTGATGTTCTGCTGATTGAAGGCGCTCAGAAAGGACATTTATTTGCCTCGTGACGTACATCCAAACGCACAACGGTGATTTGACGCAATGGATTATGATACAAGCAGTGGTGAAAAAAATATACGAAATATTCATATAAGTCAAAGTATGCCCATGCTCAAACGAGCAACGGGCCGCGATCATCTATTTCTGTGGCCCTGAGCAGTGGTAGAGTTTTCATAATCCAATCGGTTGTGCCTTTTGACTTGCCACAGAGTGGTATCGATTTTATCAACCAGAGATGGATGATAGGGCTCATTCTATCTCAACATTTTTTACATTTAGATTGAATCAAATGTTGTGCCACAGCACTACCTTGATGGAAATAATAATAACTAGCTTTACTACTCGGCGTCGCCCGAGACTTGGATTCTTGTCTTGGATTAATACACGGCCTACGTGGAGGGTGGGGGGGATGCGTGACGTCAGCAGGCACACTGCGTGACGCTGCCGCGTGCGGGTGACATCACAGATGTGAAGTCACCGCTCACTTGCCGTGCAAAATATATCCATTATTGTGCCCCACCCCCCCCCCCCCCCCAAAAAATATACAAAAGTCTATTTTTATACTTTTTGCATTGTGTACAATCTTGAAGCTACCCACATGCCAAATTTCAAGTTTGTTGCATGTTGGGAAGTATGCTAAACATTTCGAACAGACACACATTCACAAATTTGCCTTTTATATATATAGATTATTCACATTGAAATGTTTGCATGAAATTAACAAGGAGTTCAAAAAAATACATTTGCACCGACATTTGTACCATTTGGTGTACAGTGTGTTTGATGAAGGATTAAAAGTATCCATTTACTCTGCAAAAAGTAACTTGCAGGGTCGATTGTGTTTGGGATGTTTGGCCGGTATATATATCTGGCCTTGTTCGATGAACTTAAGTTGAGTACAGGCCGTTTGCCATGCATTTATTGTAAGCGACACTCTTGTGGTCGCTCAAATAAATAAGGTGTCTCTACCGCAGCTCTAGCTGCGTGCAAAAAAAAAAGCCGCTTTTTCCAGTTTCCAAGAGCCTGCAGCTAAACAGAGCTGTGGGTGGTATCATGACCTCAGTGGCTTCACGCGCTCGGTGTCAGACGTCAACTCGGTTCTCAGGAGCGTGGAGGCGCAGACCTACAGCGAACGGTTTCCTACTTCACTTTTTCGTGTGCACAAGGCTGACCAAATTTGGCACAAATTTCCATGAGATGCTCTACACTCGTGAGCAGTGATAATTAATCGAAGTATTTTAATCGCATGATAATGTGTCCATTTAAAACATTCCTTTGCTCAATATTAAACGTGCATTCTTCTATTGAAATGCAGATAAAAATTCAAAGTTCTATAATAACGATATATCTCAATCGCTATATTAACAGCGCACTGCAGGCTATTACTGCAGTGGAAAAGAACATAAGCACATGAAGACTCTTCTGCGTTAACTGTGTTAAGTACAGTTGTGTTGCGTTTCCGCGTAAAGTTTGCATAACTCCATGTGTGTGTGCCTAAAGTCGATGTCTGTTTGTGTGAGTCCATATGTGTGCGTGTGTGCGTGTAAGTCGATGTGTTTCTATGTGTGTGGGTCGATGTCTGTGTGTACGGCAAAACAACCCCCTACCTCCTCGCGGTGCCGGACGGGCAACTCTGTCGTGGACAGTGCTGTGGGGAGAGGGCCTAATTCCGATTGGCCCCTCCCCTCATGGCGTGTGTGACCACCACAGTGGCTAAACGGGGGCTCTGGACGGGTGCGAGGGGCTGGTAACCCCTCCACCTTCAAAAAAATTACCACGAAACCACAACTTAAATATAACTAATAAGCTTGTGCCGGAGGCCCCGGGGGGAGAGGCGTCTCCTGGCCAAACCCCAATTAACGGAGCCAGGAGATTGAATCTCTACCCTCGGGGCTCCTCCAGAAACAACGAATGCTCACTGCGGAGGAGAGGCTGCCACTCCTCTGTCGGGAGCTGGACCGGTACCGCCTGGATCTCTGTGGCATTCAGGAGGTCCGGTGGACCGATTCTGGCTCCTGCCACCATGAGGGGTGGACAGTCCTCTACTCGGGGCAGCAGACTGCCAAACAACAGGGTGTGGCTCTTCTTTTGAACAAAATAATGAAGGGTGCGTGGGAGCGTGGCGGTGAGGTGTGGGAAGCTGAAAGCCTCAGGCTACCTTGGGCTCGCCTTCCCATCAACCGGAGGCGAGGAGTGGTGGTCGTGGTTACTTATGCCCCCACCGAAGACGAACATCCGTGGAGGGATGCAGGCAAAGCCGATGAATCAGATGCCTTCTATGACCTCCTGTCACAGGTGCTGGCTAAAGTGGCCCCTCGGGATACAGTCATCTTGTTGGGTGACTTCATTGCCCGAGTTGGTCATGATGCTGGCACCTGGTCTGGAGTGATTGGAGGGCATGGGCCAGATCAGCTCAATAACAACGGTAGGAGGCTGCTAGATTTTTGTGCAGACCATGGGCTTGTAATTACAAACACGCCGTTCCGGCATCGGCGCATCCACACAACATCATGGATGTATGCCGGGTCCAAGCAAGAACATCTGCTGGACTACATAGTGACGGACCAGCGGATGCGAGCCCATGTCCTTGACACCAGGACCTACCGTGGAGCTGATCTGCCCTCTGACCATCGACTAGTCATCTGTAAGATGCGCCTGCCATTCTTCCACTCCGGTGGTGGGTGTACACCCAGGACCCCATTCCAACCTAAAGTGGCCTGGTCTCAGTTATCTGATGAAAGTTGTAAGCGAGAATTTCATCATCGCATGCGGCTGGGGTTGGCATCGTCCCCCACTCCTCCTGATGTCGAGGGTAAATGGGCGAGATTTAGGACTGCGACTCATGCAGCTGCAATGGCTGCTTTTGGTATGTGGTCCAGACCTCCCCAGAGAACCTGGCTGACAGAGGAGGTGTTCAGGATGGTTAAGAAAAAGTGACAGGCCCACTGTCATCGGCCACAGAATCCCACGTCAAAGAATGAGGAGGCTTACTGCAGCCTTCGCTCGGAGGTTCGGAGAGCCGTGAGGCGCTTCAAGGATGGGTGGTGGTCGCGGGTTGCTGAGGAGATGGAGTCTGCCTCAGTGGCCCGCGATCACAAATCTCTATTTAACTCCATCAAAAAAGTAACTTGCAGCACCACACCTATTACCATCATTAGGGAAAAAAAGGTGATCCAATCTCCGACCCCCAGGAACAGGTTTGCAGATTTGCTGAGCATTTCTGTGAGGTCCTGGGGGAGGGGAAATCCCTCAGCCAAGAAAACATCGTGGCACAAAGTGGGGATGACCCTGCTGAGGCTGCAGTGCCTCAAATATTGGAAGAAGTCACCCCCTGTGAGTGGCTGGCTGAGGTGCCATCTTTTGAGGAAGTACTGAGGGCGATCCGGAGTCTGAGATCAGGAAAGGCAGCGGGCAGAGATGATCTCCCAAGCGAAATGCTGAGGGAGGGTGGGGTTTGTGCACAGACTGCCCTATATGACATCATAACAAGTCTGGACCACTGGACAGGTTCCGCAGGATTGGAAGGATGCCCTGGTGGTCCCCCCTCTTTAAGAAGGGGGACCGCACAGACTGTAACAACTACAGGGCCATCTCACTCCTCAGTGTGCCGGGAAAGGTCCTGGCAAGGATTATTTAACATCGCCTTGCCAGGCACGCTGAGGAGAGGCTTGCGGAGCCCCAATGCGGTTTCAGGAAAGGGCGGTCCTGCACAGATGCCATATTTTCTGTCCGTCTGCTACAGCAGAGGTGTAGGGAATTCCAACAAGACCTACATCTCTGCTTTATTGACCTGGTCAAGGCTTATGATACCATCAGTAGGCCTGGGCTCTGGGTTGTTCTTCATGCTTTTGGAGTCCCTGACCCTCTGCTCACGATCATTAAGGACCTTCATGATGGTGAGCGGGCACGGGTAAAACTACGTGGCCGGGAGTCAGAGCCATTCCCTGTACACCTTGGGGTGCGACAGGGATGTCCTCTGGCTCTCACATTATTTAACATCTATTTTGACCACGTAGTTCGTGAAGCCTTCAATAGCTGTACCGGGGGAATCTCCATTTGGTACAGATAGAATGGGAGGCTGATCGATGCCCAGATGCGGTCAAGGGATGGCTCCCTATTGCTCAACCACGTTACGTATGCCGATGATTTGGTAATAGCTGCTCATTCAGAGGAGGAGTTGGAGACGCTGCTGCTGAGACTGGAGCGTGTCACTAAGAGATGGGGCCTTACCATCAGCCCCACCAAAACCAAGCACCTGCCTGGGTATTTTGTACCATCGGACACTCCACCCCCACAACTCCCAATCGGTGATGGGGCAGTTGTGGAGAGAGTGAAGAGTTTCCCATACCTTCGCCGGTTAGAAACATTTAGGCGAGCCTGCCTACGATCCATCCTGGGTTTAACCAGGCTGGATTGTGTGAGGAGCTCACAAATCTTGGAAAGATCTGGGCAAGGTCCCATCGGTGAGCTTCTCCGGCAGGCAAGGCTGCGTTGGCTGGGTCATGTAGCCCGCATGCCCAGCCACCGCATGCCGAAACAGCTTTGGTTCGGCCGGATCAAGGGGGCTAAACGGGCACGGCCGGAATAGAGAAGAGATGGAGTGATGTGGTACAGGAGGTCGTGGAGCTGAGTGGACTTGCCGATGACTGGTACGAGCTGTGTCAAGATCGGCCTCTGTGGAGGAGGCTCGTGAAGGACGCTACTGGGCAGTTGGAGGGAGTCGCCCTCCAACAATAACGGAGGGCGGAGGAGCGACGCTCACAACAATGAGCGGAGCACCGGATGGCTAAAGCACAGCAGGTTGGCACAGTAGGGGGCACAGGTGGTGCATCAGCCAGTCATCTCAGTCAGTCGACTCGTGGCACCTGGGTCTGCCCCGTGACCTCCTGTCAGCGGGCGTTCGACACTTCACGTGGCCTCAAGGTGCACATGGCCTGGCACAAGCGTCGTGGTGACGTCACCGCCACTTAGTGGCGAATGGCGGTTGTTGTTGTGTGTAAGTCGATGTGTGTGTCTGTCTTTTTCGCCCGGGCAACGCCGGGTACTTACCGCTAGTATTGTCATAAATGTTGCTAAGTTGAGTTAGATATATTGAATGCAGTTGTGTAATTGTGGTGTAATTAAAGCTGCAGCATAATCGTCACTATCATCAGTCACGATCCGTGGTTTTTGCAGTGCCTTTTTCTATAGCATTATGATAACAAGCCTATGGGCAGTGGAGTTAGTTATTATTTTAAAACGCCCCCCCACCCTCCTCAACACACCTTCTCCCCCCAATGCGCTCGAGCATTAATTATATTGTGTTTTTTAACCACAGTTGGCCCTGGGGAACTTGAAAACACGGCCTCGTACCGCAAAAACGTCAATTCCATGGTGACACCGAAGCGATTTCTGAGCGCTCACCTCCTCCTGCGGTTCAAGCTTCGAGTCGAATTGACAGAAGACCTCATCCAGGCCCTTGCGGATCACATTGACCAGGACGTTGAGTCGGCCCCTAAACCAACGAGAAAAAATAAAGTTAAAAGTCAGGTCAGCGTGTCTGCTGCTTAAACGAGCGCTGCGCGTTGGGCGCACGTCCACCTCCACTGGCGGCTCCGAGCCAGCGGTGGAATTTGCGCACATTCACATTACAATTAGTCGCTCTCTATACCGGCCAGCTACTCTTTTTTTATGGGTCCTGCAGACGTTTGGGGCGTCCCCGTGTTATTATTTAGATAACATAAAGCTGTGTGTTGTGCGGCGGCACACCCCCTTTTGCGGACTCTGGGCTGAGGTGAGACACTCGGCTCCGCGACCTTCTGACTGCGAGCTGAACACTCTTCTTACGCGGTGCTGCCCGGCCAGACAGTGATGTGTTCGGAACTGTCAATGTGGAGTAGGGCCAGGTGGCTCCGGGTGCTTCACTTTCTTGATCAAGCTGTACAATGACAGGATAACTTATTTCAAGGTGTGGTGTTTGAACATGGTTTTTAGGGCAACGAATAAGGGGTGGAATTCTCAAAGCCAGACAGAGAAATGAGACAACTTTATCAGTTCCCGGTGCTAAATTATCTTGGGGGCTCCTGCAGCGTGCGCTTTTACATATGTTTAGGCGGAGTTATCAGCCCTGCAGCAAAATACACCTTTGTACCATACTTCCATGCTTCAACCTATACACCCCCCCTCTTTCAGAATTCCCGTGAAGTATGGTCAAATAATCCCCACGACGACCTGCATGGCTCGGGGAGGTCCTGATCCAGCTCAGAGGATTGACAAAGATAATGTACGTGACCTACACACACAGAAGTCACTCGCGCTAACCACTTTACACCACTCGTATATTGCTTATGAAAAGATGCATGTACACCACCTTTCCCAACCACACCCACTCGCAATGCCACCAATAACACAGACCAAATAGTGCTCTCGCCGCCAAATGGCACGCACGTGCACGGTATGAGTCACATCCCATTGTTGAGGCCTCAGGTAGAGAGCGTAGTCTAGGGTGCACAGGGCATGGCGTAGGGTAGAGGGCATGACCTATCAGTGCCCCTGGCCTTATTGAAAACAAATGGCCAAGCAACGTTGGGAAGCGGCAATTTTCAAGGCAAGGTATTACTGAAAGGGTAAAGAAGCAGGGCTTCGGTAAAATTGGCTATAGAGAGAGAGAACACTGGTTATGGTAGAGTGTACGAAGACACTTTTTTTACAGAGCGACAATCGGTCATTCAGAAGAGAAAATAATTTTTGATCCTGAATTTGAACTGAGGGAGCGGGTCTCCAGTGCAGATGTTTCAGAGAGCGCGGGGCAACAGCAGCAGAGAAGTGACGTCCCATTGAGTGAAGGCTGACTGCGGGCTTTGAGATGGGGCCATGAGCGAGTGCTCGGCTACGGCTCTCTGCCGGGCCGGCCGTGCGGTACCGGTGAGGCATGCCGAGCGTGATGGCATCGACGCCCATGACGCTGGAGCAATCCACGATGGTCCTGAGCGCCGGCACGAGCATCTCGCAGCCTTCGACGCCAAAGCGCTTCTCCGACGACCACTTCTTCGCCAGGAATTCCTCGAAGCTACAATAAACACACGTGGTCAGGCGGGCAAGGTGGTTATTAGGCACGCGGGGTCGTAGTTATGAGGGTAGGTCAGTAAGCTGGAGGGTAGGTTGGTGGGTAGGCAAGCCGCTAAGAGGGAATGTTCGTAGGTAAGCAGGTAGCTAGGTCGTGGATATATATGGGCAGGCAGTTGGTAAATATGTAAGTGGGTGTGTGCATAGGTAAATGGGTTGGTGTCTATGTAGTTATTTGAATGAGTGGGTTGATGGTTGGGTAGGACGGGTAAAAATATGTAGCTATATAAGCAAGCAAATAAGCAGATGGGTGGGTACATGGGAAGGCTAGTGGATAGGTAGTTTGGAACCTCAGTATATAAGCAAGGGGATAGTTATTTGGTGCGTCGGTGAGTAGCTAAGTAGCTCAGAAGCTCGGTCTGTGGGTAGAAAGTTGGGCAAGTAGGTTTGTGCAAACATATATGACTGACGCGTGTGTTGTTGGTAGGTGTGGTGACAGCTATTTAGGCAAGTATGTAGTTAAATGGGTAGGAAGGATGGTATCTAAGTAGGCAGGAAGGCAGGCAGGTAAGGGCCTGGTCGTGTAAGGATGTACCGGGTGGCTCGCAGCAAGCGAATGAGAAGCTGCTTCTTTTCGGCAGGGGTGAGCGTTCCGGCACCGGGCACCTCAAAGCGCTGCCGGATCCACTGGCACTGCTCCCGGTCATTGATGAACATGAACTCGACCCCAATAGAGCCACAGTAAACATCCTAAATTCACACACGCACACAGACAAAACACACACAAATATCCCCCTATAGACTTTCACGGACTGTTTGGGCGAGTGCTGTTAACGAGCAAACATGAAGGCCAGCAGGGTGCACGAGCAGGTCGGTACGACCATCCACGTGCGTTTGCGGCGGAGCCTGTGTGCGTGTCTACGGGTGCGTGCCTTCAAACGCTGTAGGATGTCTCGCAGGGTCAGATCAGAGCGGTCCCCGCCGATGAAGGTCGTGTTCGGCAGCTTCAACGTCTGGTCCAGGTCGGACTCCAGGAACCCGTAACTGGCTGGGGGCGGAGAAGGCATGAGCTACTGTGAGTTAATCTCCGGTCAACCTTGCGATATTGAAAATAAATAACGAACTTGCATTTGGTACGCGAGATGGCGCGTGACATTGGCACCAGCTAGCCGGTCAAACACACGTGCAATTGACTTTGAAAATGCACAGCACTGTGAGAATTTCCCACAGCACACGTACATGTACATTATAGCGTCCTGGAAATGATTGTTTAAGGGCGCTTTTTAAATTCAAGTTGTTATTATTATTACATTTCCATATAATTTGCATAACTCTGAATCTATTGTTACATGCACATATCGCGAGCAATTTCATCAACTGTAATCAACTGATGCGTCATTATATAATTACCTTTAAACCTTCATAACAACCAATTTCACTCTTTTCAGTCTGAAATGTCACGTCAGCAGAGAGGAGTGGTCACCTTATTACTTGAATGGGGGGTAAATTGTAAACTGTGATATATTTCACTGCGCACTAATTTCTGGGAGCGGTGGTACGTTAGATCAGTGGTTCACGCTACGAGCTATGCAACCACTTTCGATTGCAAGGCATGTTTGAGCGTCACTGGTATGCGAAGTAGAGTCGAAACAATCTTTTACGACCGACACAGCGTGCAGGAGGCCTTCATCCGTTTGTAGATTGACGGAGGGATATTAATAACATCTGATTGACTGACAATTTTGCCTAATTTCATTTTTTTTCCATGATGCGTGAAAATTGGACATGCCTGCACAATGTTTTGTCTGGTCAGGCATAAACTGGAGGAGCCTGACTAAACAAAACCCAACCAAGCAATTATCTGCTGGCAGCAGAACTCGAGAGTCAAGTTTCTCCAGTTTGAGACTGGACCTGTGTGGAATTAAGGAAGCTGCAGGGGTAGAAGTGTGTGCGAATTCGCCCAGAGGTGCACTTTCAAATCAATATCGTGTTGCTATTCACACCCTTGTCAACAATTCAAGAGATCAAATTTATTCTTATAGACCACAGGGTAAGTGCTGTTTGCGAGAACCTATTATGAGTGATCTGGTACAACATGGGACAATGTTGTCAGCACAACATCTATCCACAACTCCCCAGTGCCGATTGAGTTTTTGTTTAAATGGGTGAGAACTCCAGAGACGAGGATAGCCTCATTTGCAAAAGTCACCACGGGCCATTAGACTGCCAATAGGGGGCGATGATTGCTACGTGTTTTATCCCAACTGAGTAATTTATGTGTCATTTTGGAATTTGGCAAATTTGAATCCCGACACCGGCCCACAATGGCCCACTCTTGCATATGACGTTAGGGCATCTTTAACGTCTACAGTGAATCAGACAGCACGCATTGTTCTTCTTTGGTTCTTTCGGTAAAGTCACGTAGAATGAGAATAAAATAATAAATTGATAAAATAAAATAACACAATAATATTCTCACGACGTTTCAATTTATTATTTTATTCTCATTCTACGTGACTTTACCGAAAGAACCAAAGAAGATGAATCATTGCAGTCACGAAAGCTTTAAATCGAAATTTAGCACGCATTGTTATGGTTATTACACACAGTGATAATCAGGTTGGCTACTGGATTCGAACCATGAACCTCTAAGGAGTGGCAAACGCCCAACTGATGTTAATTTTACTAGGCAAGGCCCACTGAGCTATATAGCTCTTTTTCAGAATAGATCTGGCCACAAATTATAGCTGAATGAAGTGGCGTATCGTGTGGAAATGTATAGCAGCCAAATACTCTAAACGCATATTTCTAAATGTGGAGGGGAAAAACTGGAGGACCTGGAGAAAAATCCACACAGACCACAGGGAGAACACGCAAACCCCAAATATACAGGGCATCAGGGGCCCGGGATTGAACCCACAACCTCCTGCAGGTAGTTAACATCGCACGTCACAGCAAGAATGACAAGGATTCATTGCACCACCACTCCCTCCCACCCTAAGAATACGCGAAGGTACACAGGGACTTAGCAACACACAAACACATCTACACGGCATGGAACAGCCCGGTGCATTTGGTCAACAAACCAGCGGGTGTGGGTGCTCTTCATTGTTATGACACAGTGACACGAATGGCCCATTGTATAACCGCGTGTTGTATAACTACACTGGACTGAGGCTGTACATCGTGTAACGGTGACTGTTTTAACCACTCATTTGGTTAGTGTACTGGGTCAAATGACTAAAAACAATTTACATGAGCCAATACCAGTGACGATTATCTGAACTGGTCCCGGGTCTCCCCTAGGTCGCACCTCTGGCTAGCACCTCTGGTTAGCACGGTTAGCTACGTACGGTACGAAAGCTTTAAATCGTATATACATAGGTCAACTAGACCTCAAATGAGTTCCTGGTGCGATGCGTAAACATCAGCACTAGGAAAACAAAGGCGGCCAGGTGTGATGGTGGGCACCCACCTCGTTTGCCATGCCTGCCTTCATAGCTCACTAACAACACTTGCCCCAACAGCCTGTTGAAGGCTATACACACATTGGATCTTTGTCTCTGTAAGTTACCCCAGCTTTGATATGCAGAATCCCTGCCAGAAGAATATGGAATTTCCGGCACGCGTTAGACAGCTGCCAATAGAGTACCACCACCTCATGCTGCTTTAAGCTTGTGGTGTACATTCCACATTCCTATGGCAGGGGAGGGCGTGATGTTTATTCATTGGACACCCACTCACTCGTGACTTCTAACAAAATGGTACTCCCTGAATCAACCTAGGAGGCGAGGTAGACTTTGAGACGACCTCGACCATGATTTCAATTCAGAATCTTCCCATCAGTGTGTTTTGCTCTTGTTAGTTTATTTCCCGACCGTGCTTGTGCACCCACAGTCAGCACTGCTGCTGCGTCACCAAATAATTTGCCTCAGAATTGCAAGGCAGTCAAATTCCTTCCATTGAAGTGGTCGCTGGGTCTATGAATGCACTGCTAGTGGGGGCTGTGCCTTAGCCCCCACACGAACAAACATTCCCACAATGCACTGTTTCAACATTTTATAATTAAGCTTCTCATATTAATGCATGTATTCAGTAACACTGTTGTTTAATTGGAGGATGTTTCTGGTACTCAAATGCTAAGATTAGGTAAATATTCATAAACTTTTAAAAAAGTATAATTTTCATCAGGCCCCATGATGTTTAGGGCATTCTCCAATCCTTGAGCTCCATCTCTCTGTGTATGAAAAAGGGCCAATGTCACTAATTATACATTGTTTTTCTTTTAAGCCAGTGTTGTTGACGAATGTGTTGAGTTTTTTGTTTATTGTATTCCAGTACAGCACCGAATGTGCGTGTGTGGGACAATTGTTTACAGTTATTCAAAACTACATTCAAATGATAAACGGAGGTTACATTGATGCTTACGGAGTGAACAAAACTAAGCAAAAATGTACTCTTTACGAATTATTTTACCTATTCCTGCCTAACACACTAGGATGACAAAGCACTGCCCCGATATCTCGATGAGCGCTCTTGCTTGGGTAAGCAACACTAACAGCTAAAATACTGTACGCTCAACGTTTGACCCCAGATACAGGTGCACAAATGTTCCTTTTCGCCAGGTCCCAGAGACCGGCACAACCGCCGCGCGCTGGATAGAGGCAACTCTGAACCATGCGGGCTGCATTCCGTCACCCCCATGTCCACACCGCGTAACCTGCACTGCTCACGCACAGACGTCAATAAAGCCGGCAGCTGGAAGTCCGCTGAGATATATTACCTCTTTCGTGAAGGTCATCAGCTCCGGTCATAGTTGCAAAGGCACACCACCCATTAATCATTTACGGTGTAAATTTGTCTGGTGGTGCACCGCCTCCCCCCCCTCCCCCCCCCGCCTGTAATCCAAACACTTGGCGGATAGTTAAGAAAGTAGGTTTCTGACACATTTGTGTGGATGTTGTCAGAATGCTCTGGTTTTCTCCCGAGGAATTGGCCAAGCATCACAGAACAAAGGCCGTCCTGAAAATGAGTCTTGACATTCAGCAAGGCTTTTCCATGTTAAAGTAGCATAACAGCGAAGTTGAAATAATCAGAGGTTAAAGCAGCCCATCACCCTGTAATTTCCCTGGGGAAGAAAAATGAATATCACTGCGAAATGCCAACAGCCATCGTCAATTGTCAGTCCACTGCTGAATTAAGGTCTCCCCCCATGCCATCTCCGTCCCTCATGGCTTCACTATCGGGGTCAAAGATCAACTCGCTATCACTCGCCAATGTTGTACCCCACTGCCCCCCCCCTCCCCAAAGTAACAATACAGTACTACTCATGTAATCATAAACACCTGTTCACCAACTAGCAATGATCAGTGTGAAGTATGGCAAAAATAACCATCATGGCTGACACAAGGCACGGGGGGGCCTTTATCCAGCAGTGGATGGACAAAGTAATGTCGTTTCTTATTTTAAAATCACAAATGTCACGTGAACCATAAATAATAGCAGGATTGGGCCCATGCCCAACGGGGATGATGGCTAAAGGACCGATACTCGTGGTGAAATGGCAGCCGAAAGGACTAACACCACAGAGACGAAACGGTAGGATTAGTTCATGTGCAGGAATGAGATGCATTGCAGACGCAAACAGGCACGGCCTTTAGCGCGCCTTCTATTGACGATGCCAAATGATTAAATGACAGACTTTATGAATATTCCAGTACACTCTGTAAGGGATGCAGAGCTACCTCACTGGCATAGTGCTGCCAACAACAAATAGAGGCGTGTCCCATTTAACGAGTGAGATACGTTCTGTCAAAATTGCTCGGTAAGCGAACACTCGTGAAACAACCATCATCGTTTTCCCATTGACTCCCATTGTTAAAAGCTGAATTACGTTTCCGCTCCAAAATTTTCCACTCTTGAACAACTGTTTTAACATAAGAAATACTAATCACTTTAAAAAAGGTTAATAAAACAACAATTTTAACACATGAAGAACTTCAGTGCAAGATCCCCTGTATATCCACATATTCGAAATCAACACGCTCACACTCTCTCCACTCGATCATACAGCCATCTTGCGCTCTCTCCGTCTCTCATACATGCAAACAAACCTACTTCCCGCACCGTCCCCCCAAAGACGAAGCTCCCCAAATAGCCTTAACAGACTGTTGGGCCAAGTGCTGCGAGCGAGCACCGGTGAAGGCTGGGAGGGCACACGAGAGGTGGGTGGCCAGAACCACGCCCGGTCGCCTTAGTCTCACTAGTGGTGATATTGACAGACTGCACCAGGTACTTGTTTGAGCCTAAGTCATTCTAGGAGAGGCCTAGGACCGGTTCAGATAATCGTCACTGGTGTTGGCGGGAATGAAACTCGGGACGTCAGGTTTCGTAGTGCCGAAGGCTAACCGTTGCTCCACCACTCGCCACACACAAACCCCTCCAGTCACCCATCTACCCACCGATACGGTGCCACCACGAGGCCCCCACCCGCACCCACCCAAACCACGTGCTTACGCAGTACAGTACAGCACAGCTGCTAAGCAAACAACTGCATGCCGTGGTGGCACCCTGACACGGGACACATTTTATCGATCGGTCTCCGCTCGTAATGCTAACATTTGCTAACTTCACTAAAAAATTGGGCTAAATTCAAATTCATCATGTTTATTGTTTCCCTTCAACGTGACTTTACCGAAAGAACTAAGAATATGAATTACTGCAGTCACGAAAGCTTTAAATCTAAATTTAAATTCAAATTGCTCGTTTTGGCGAATTCTGGTAAAACGAATGCTTGTTAAGCGAGACACGCATTAGGGTCCCTACACATTAAGACGTAAGCTCAAATGCCAGCCAAGGATGAGAAGTTACACTATAGTTCCCATTGTCAGCAATCATGATTGATATCGTGCCTCTAGGGTTGGAAAACGGAACACCGCCTGATGAGGCAGCACTACTTGGCAGGAAGTCAGTTGGACGCATTTGTACCGATAAAATGTTTGGTTTCAAAGCAATTTGTTTTGCGTATTTTCATGTCCATGAAACTATAAATTTAGTTCAAAATGTCCTCCAACCTTTTAACGGTTGGACATGGTATTTACTGAACACAGCAATAGGAGTTTAACGGCTCCCTTAAAGGTATTAATGAAACCTCTAAAGCCGTGACTGCAACTTCTCATAAATAAACAACACTAAGTATCGGAAGAATGTTATGACGTTGGCTTGTGCGAAACATTTTACTGAGCCATCTTGTGCCCAGTCTTGTTGGGAGAGACGTACCCAGGCTGCTCATGTCGTAGATGAGATCCTTTGTGACAATGTGGTCCTGGTTCTGCAATTGCAGGGGATCCAGCTTGGCGATTAGGTGTCCTCGCACCTGGTGGAAGAGTGGTTTTGTACGTGTATGTGTGTGCGCGTTTGTGTGTGTGTTTGCGAGATAAACACAACAGGTTACTTGTGAATACAAAGACCCCCGTATAGTCTTTAACAGACTCTTGGGTTGGCGAGCACCTATGAAGGCCCACACGGCACACGAGGGAATAGACGGCCAACACCACACCTTTAGCTTCCCAGCTGAAATGTTCACGCATCACCCCAGGTACTTATTTGAGGCTGAGTAGAGCTACGGGAGACACAGGACCAGTTCAAATATTCGCCACTGTTATTGGTCCCGAGCGGGAATCCAACTCGGGTCGCTGGGTTCATAGTGCAGTGCACTAGCCACATGCGTCACTGCTCCACAATTGTGACCACACACACATACAGATGAACCCATACCTGTTCATTCGTCTGGATATGGGGTTATGGTTCAGGGCCACCAGTAGAGAGATAACCACAACCCCCGTGCTCATTTGAGAAGGGAGACACTGTGACATAAACCCACGCCAATAAAAAAAAACCACACAAGACAGATTCCCCTGATTGACTGTTGGTACCAGGGGGGCCTGTTAGCAAGCGCTTATTTAATCTGGCATGCACATTAATCCATCCCTTTGTTTCCCCAGTACTGATATTGACACACCAATTAAGGCCGCGCCAACCTGAGGGGTGCCCGAGACACGTTGGACACTTCAGACACAACTGGCCACTTTGTGCAAAATCTGGGAATCTCATTCCCGGCCGCCTTTGTCTCCCTAGTGGCAATGTTTACACGTCGCACCAGGTACTCATTTGAGGCTGAGTCGATCTAGGGGAGGCCCAGCACCGGTTAAGGTAATCGTCACTGGTGTTGGCCGTGAGCAGGAATCGAGCCCGGGTCGCCAGGTTAAAACGTAGTGCGCTAACCGCTACACTCCCACATCAAATGCACACACAGGTATACATTCGTACACACACAAGCAAAGGCACACGTGTACCTGATACGCGCGTATGAGTTTGTGCACGTTCATGTGGTCGGACACGGTCTTCTCGTTCACTGGGCTCGTCTGCACGCTGCTCAGAAGCGAAGGGCTCCCGAGGTTCGCGCTTCGGAAGTAATTATCCCACGACTGGGATCAGACGGGGATACATGGGGATAAGGGTGTCGTTCGGTTAGTCGTCAAACAACGTGAGTCTGTATTCATTTTTACATACACTTGTGATGACTCTCAGCCCAGTGCTCACATTCACTGGATTCAGCAGGATTACCGACATATAACCGCCACCTTCATGCGCAACTCCTCATGTGTTTCCATCTATGCCACCTTACACTAGTGGAGGATGGCGATGACAGGGTTTGAATTTTCTTCCTTCTCAAATGAGAATGAGCCGTTGTTTGGCAGTTCTGAGCCAGTGGTGGACATTCTCAGCTGAGTTGACTATAGACCAGGATTTGCACTCGCTGCTTTCCTACCACCGCCGTGCCAGATTTTTCTTTGCTGGTCCAGGAGAGGAAATTTTAAAAAATTACACATTTACAGCACAGTTGTACGCAATTGAATTGTATAAATGTGGATGTCTCTGCAACCAGTAGCACAACTGGTTTCTTACAGAAGACAGCACTACTTTCAAGTGTCCATCTGCCCAGTGGCGATTTGCAGCCATGTATTTTCATCACCACGTGACACATTTGCAAACTACAATTGGTTGTTTCCCACCTGATGATTGTTTGTGTTGCAATCGAAACGTCGTGATTTAATTCATTGTATTTTAAACCTGCGTGAATTTAACGAAATAACCAAAGGGTATGGTTGTTACAAGTCTGAATTATTCCGTTTCGATTTTGTGTTGTGCAACGACTCCATCAGAAGAGGACAAAACAGTTGCACGACTTCGAGAGGTATTTGGTTATGCAACTGATCCTTCAGGTATGGGCCCAGCTATAGTAATGGCACACAATGGCTGATCCTGGGGAACGTCACGCATGCAAAACACTTTGACATTCAACAAATCGACAGACCTTTTAATAATCATGTGCGAGGCTGAGAGCCGTGATCTAGTTAAGGAAGACCTGTGCAATACCACAAGGGTGGTGTTACTGCAATGCATTAATAACACGACAGTTGTAGGTCATTTTCTAACTTGGAATTTGGCTCCAATACTAGCACACAATATCCAGCTGGGTGACAGACTGCTGGCAGAGGACTGAGACTCGTGATTAGCAACTTAAAAAAAGCCAACAATAGCCACGTTATGGATAAATCGGGCCTCCGTCTTGGGAATGCGGAATTTCCACCTCTGGCGCGGGCGATGCCGGTTGGCGATGGGCGCCATCCCATTACTTGTTTAAGCACCGAGATACTTGGATTCTGACTTGGCCAGTGCACAATGCCATGCGACTGTGGTATTTTGTGCAGATCTGAATAGGAACGTGGGGGGGTATTTGTTGAATTAGTTTAAATTGTTTGTGCAGTAGGAAGCTTCAATAGGTTGTAGAGACAGAAAGGGAAGCTGTCGTCAATATACTCAACTCGTAGGCAACTGCAGGCATCGACTTGTTAATGCTAAGTTTGTGGCAAGAGTGCCTTATGGGTAAATTCCCCCTCTAAGTTTATTTCTTGCATACAAAAGCTTTGCAAGAGAGTATTCTTTCGTCACGTACACACGTGTGTTCTCACAAATGCATCACACAGTGTACGGCAATGTTTACACACTGCACCAGGTCCTCATTTGAGGCTGAATCGACCTAGGGGAGGCCCAGGACCAGTTCAGATAATCGTCACTGGTGATGGCTGTGAGCGGGAATCGAACTCGGGTCGCCGGGTTCGCAGCGCAGTGTGCTAACCGCTACACTACCGCTGCACAGTGCACAAACAGAGCCAAATATCCTCCTATAGCCGTACAGGCTATTGGGGCCATTGCTAAACAGCTCGTATCAATCAAGTCGGGCATGATAGTGTAATGTGCTAGCCACTAAGCCACAGCAGCCCCCCACCCCGTCACCACACCCACTGGCAGACGCACGTCACCTGGTGTACACTGCTCGGGTCTTGCATCCACTCCTGGTACATGGCTTGCACGTAGCCATTCTCCAACTGCAAAGAACGCACGCTCATGGCCAGCGGCGGTCCCTGGGCAACCCCCAGTGCCCTGGGGGCAGCAGCCAGACGGGTGCGGCAGGCGGCACCCACCCGAGTTAGTGCCAGCATCATGTCGCTGCCGGGGGGAAAGGAGAGAGGGTGCCGCATGGATTAAATAATTCATTTTCTTAAGACGCACCTCACGTGGTGGTGGGTTCATCTCCGTTGGTGGGTCCCGAGCCGCCGGTGGTGGAAAGTCTACTTTGCCGTGATGAGGGCCGGTCTCTCCATGGGATAACCACTGCTGGGCACCCCCACAAAGTGGTCCTTATTTGGGCGAATATACCAATTGATTTTGTTTTTCAGTCAATAGTGAATGTTAAAAAGCAACATTATTGAATCAAGTGAGGATTCCTAAAGAAGGGGCAGGTCAGCAAGTTACAACAAATACAAAAAATGATAGATATGCAAAATAGAGAAAAGGTAAGTAAGTCACGAAAAAGAATTAAGTATATCAGTCCAAATTGCATAAATAAATTCCTGCCGATATTTCAATACCAAATGCAAGCTTGGACAAGACAACAATAAAGCAACAACAGAAACAGTCCCAGAACACAACAACACATTCCCCCCCTCAATAAAATTGCACATTAAAATTGAACTGTCAATACACGGGTAAGATACGTCCTTTTCATCACCGCTAATTTACCCCATTCTGACATGGGCTGCTTGCGAGTACATAAAGCAGACATAACATACCAGCCGACAATCGGTGATCTTTATTTTACAAGGTGAGAGCCAAATGGGACACCAGGTCCTACCGCAATTGAACCCTGGGGTAAAAGTACAGGTGCCTGTAAATGCGCAAATGTATAATCGTCCATTTTAAATCAATATTATTCGACTGGTCTCTGCACACACATCTTCCACGAGTGGTTAAAATAAAGATGACCCACGGTTCAGTGGCTGCTGTCACCAGAAACCAAATATTGGACCATATCAAACAATGGACCATATTGCTAACTGCATCCTTCCACGTCTGCTCTCCAGCGGAATGGACAGCGTTGGTCACGCCACTCCTGAAGCTATCGTCACGTAGCTCACAAACTTAAATCTGGGCATACAATTTACTCATACTTACGACACACTAGAGGATCTACGTTAAACGAATTATTCTTCGATAGCAGTTTGGGCAAGGTTAATCAACTACATAGGTCCACACTTAATAGTACGTCCCTCTAAATACCGGCGCCCGTGTTCACGGTCCTGGCGAGCGTAACGAGATCTTTTGGAGAGTCCCGTGCCTTCACCACCAGTTCCCCACCATAACTCGCCTCACTGCTCTCGCCTTGCACTGAAGGCTCATGGTAGAACCCTATGCAGCGTCACTCACAATCTGCTTCGGACAACCAAAGGTCTCGAACTCTTACAGCCTCATGTCGGTTCTCTGCTGCCGCCCCCTCGGTGTTCAACTCTATCCTTTTGCACGTTCGTAACATCAAATGCACACTGACTTTCAAAAAGCATCTAAAGGCCCCTATCGGGTTGGGTCAGGCTTTCGAGCAGCCCTGCGCTTGGCTCCACGCCTCTGAGTTGTTGACCCGTCTGCAAAATCTGACACGTTATAAATGTCATTATTATCATTATTATTATTTTCACCAACAACTCAGCTGTATATGTTTTGGATGCTACGGAAACACACAAGCCTTTCCGTAAATACGCCAAATAGCTTTCAAACCATTCAGTCAAAGCATTTCTATACTGTTCTCTAATTAGGTTTATTTAAGGAGCCAGAACAACTAGTTAGTAAAAATGCTTGCAAAAATAAACGTGCAACGTGAACTCAGTTGTCTGTGGATGCATGAGACGTGCTGTGGATTAACTCCGCTGGCAAAGCAAGGAATATATATAAAAAAACGGGGTATTCCACGTTAATTTGTGCTTTTTACATGTGCTTCTTTAATTATTAGCTGCTCCTAACTCGTGACTTAGTGACCAATTACATGAAAAAACACTATGACAAGACTCGAAACTAATTCTACGTCTTTACTCCTACTCTGTTTAGGCAAATAAAAAATATGCTTTGCTATCGCATAATTTATACGAGTTTTGCATTTTCTGACTATAATTTTTTTTTATAAATTAGGGCCATTCTTTCTTTCCTCCATAACCAAGGATAATCGAGACTTGGGCTCACTCTGGTGTGGGAATTAAAGTGAATTCACTCATCATTTACGGTGACCTTGAGTAATCTGTGGAAATTCCACATTCACAGAGTGACGGCGAGTCTCTCCACATATCTGAAGTTGAATATCCACAAAGTGGCTGTTGTCTTATATCGCAAAAGTAGTGATAGATGATGGGTGTGGAGTCAACTCCGGACCAGGATATCAATCTGCAGCTGTCTGACTGAGATGGGGGCTCTAAACAAACATACTGTACGACAAAGTATGAAACCATTTACCATAGTGCAAACATAATCTGTACGCTGTATTGCGATGTATGCTTGTACCGCGGCAAAAAAGACCCTCGACAACGTAAGGCATCGAGTCAAAATATTTTACCACTGGATATGTACAGTACCTATAAAAACTATACTAACATATTTGACAGCATACGTTTGATTAAAACATATTGCATTCATATAGACACATTTTCCATAGGCTGGCAAGAAAAACTTTATAGCTTTTACTTACTTTCACTAAACAATTACAAACCTTACCCTGACTTCACCTCAATCAGAGTGTTCCCTGTCACTTCAATTCTCATACCCTACGACGAGAATCGAGTCATCAACGTGATGCAAACAGACTCGTTGATGAGGAGCCCCGCACACAACGATTCACCAGGCCACCTGTACAGGCGCACACTGCACATCATGTCTGGGTTTAAGAAACCCACTCCTCTACAATAAAGCATTCCAAACATGCATTAGGATAAAGCCATTAAATCAACGACTTAACATTTTTAAAACATTTCTTGCCCTTGTTTTTTCTCCAGATGTATCAAGCAGTATAAAGCACACTGCCACAATGATACAAACACAACAATTTCAGCCTAATATGCTGTCAACACAAGTGCTGTTAGCGAGCACCTATTAAGGACAGTTCAGAAAATTATGAGGAATTGTAAGCACCGAAGACCCTACCGTACTAGGGGCCCGTCGTAGACCTCGAAGCAGTCAAATTTCCATTTGTTGAGCAAACCCAAGGTCGCGTGACAGTAACGCAATGCATGCACCACTATGTCACAACTCGCGCTAAAAACATTATCACATGCAACCCACATACCATCATAAGGACGCCAAGACTCTCTATACCTGTGGTCTTTTCCGAAGCAAACCGGTGTGTGGCCCCAACAAGGTCAAACACCCAGTACTTGTAGTGTCTGTACAGCCCTGCTATAACCGTAAGTCAGGCTTACCACGGTTAGTGCGCGCACAAATGCCCTTACACAGCAAAAAACATTTTATATATATTTAACAAAACATTGTCTGAACCTTTCCCAGCTTAAATGAGGTTGGGGCAGTGCTCATCTCCAATGATGTCTCCAATGCAGGGATGGAAATTTCACATTCCTTGGTGCAGGGTTAGTCTCTCCAAAAGATACCCAAAGGTTGACTTGCAGAAGTGTGACTCAACGTATTGACCGCAAAAGGACTGTTCAGCTGAATGAGATATTAACTCACCACTATTTGACATGTAAGGAGAGTAAATTATATTGCATTTGGCTGTGTACACACACAAAACGAAACGTGACAAGAGGAAACTAAGTTACAAACGAACATGGTTTTGAATAGGGATTAAGAGTTTGGGCTTTTGAGGTTAGCAACCTTTAGGCTTAGAGGAATGTTCATCACTCAGTATAAATCATGCCCAGTGACGAGGTCTGCTGGTTACGAATGGCCTGTGACCAAGCTCAGAGGCAGGGTTGGTGGTTCATGCAGAGATGGAGCCATCTAAAGCGTAAGACACCATATTCCTGGCCAATTAGGTGGTTATCGAAACAGCACAGCAATTCAAGTTCTGACTTAAAGGTGTGGTGCTGTAGTTACATCTTGTGCATGTGGGTTTTCTCCAGATAATCCAGCCACCTTCTACGTGCAAAAATACTTGTGACTCTTCAAAACACAATGAAGCCTAGTCTGGGTAAAGATTTAAAGTTGATGGAATAAAAAGAGGTAATCCTGGCCAATGCCGCAAATGCCGCCCACACCTCATCGTCATCACTTCCTTTCTTCTACCCATTCCACAGCTGTTTCACAGTGGATAGGTGACCTCGACCAAGTCTGCTGCTTTAGTCGTATCTCTGCTATATGACATCAGTCCTTCACGCTGGATTCTGATTCCTGGGCGTAAGCCCAGTGGCGGACTTGGCAACACGTTTCAGAAAATTGTGCCAAACTTTTTTTGGCAAATTTCTCCGCTTGAAAGCCAGAGATTAAAAATACATTTTGGTGGTAATAAAGAATAATTTATGGGCTGTGGTATAACAGAAGAAAACCTGAACGAAAAATGTCCACCCTCAAGATACGTATTCAGAATTTAAACATTCTTTCAGGTCTGCAACTATATCATTAAATAATGCATGATATATATGTGTAATAGATAAATGTAAAAACAATAAAATGGCTTCAACTCTGGGCACTTCTGATACACTTAGAACTACAGGTTGCCTTCATTTTACTCTTTGATCTTTGGTCGACACAATTCTGAAAGTTCTAAATATGTCTTAGTATGTGATTCCAGCTCCTGCTGACCGTGAACTCCTCAGCTCGCAAGTAGTGAAGGCATTTCTTCTTTACTTGTTAATTGATGAGTGCATTCTATGAGCAAATGTTATTAACTTTCAGACTATATATTCTTAGTTTTTTCGGTAAAGTCAGACTGTTGTGCCATTTCTTATAATATGCGCTGCAGAAATAGTATTCTCAATGTCTGTTCCTTAAATGATGCTCATGTAAGTAACTTGATTTTGCACGAGATTTAACGAGACCTCCCTTGCTGTCATTGGGTGCCACATTAATGACAATGCGCTTTGGGGTTAAGGAACTGGAGGCGATAGAAATATGCACAATATATTATATCACGTGTTCAATAACTGTACCACCACTCTATATAAAAAGTACTAATAGCTGAAGACTCGGGCAATATACACGTTTAAGTTACAACACTACTTTTTTTAATTAATACAAGTACAATTGTCAATAGCAATGTACCACATACACTTACCCTTACTACAAAAGTGATGCATAATGTGCAAGGATTAAGAACGCCTAACTTACTCAAATTATGTAATAGTCCATTATGACCCAGAAATGTTTGACCATATACAGGTTGGATTGGTCAAAATATGCCCACTGATTATTATGGGAAGCCACCGAGATGATGGGTTATGCAAAGGAACCCTTAAGTAACTATGGCGAAGTCGGTCAGCTATGCATTTCATACAGTATTACCATTTTACAATTACCGATTCAGGATCTGAGTTTCTCTTGGCAGTGATGTCACGTGGGCCTCTATTGCCCATTTTACAGCAAGCCAAACACTTTAATTATTCCCTCAAAAAAATTAGCGGCAGGCTACAGCAGGAATCAAAACCCGTTGACTTTAATAAAACACAATTGTTATGTGCAACATTGATGAATTAGCTACCCGGCCACTTAAATATATACAAAGACCAAGATCCTCAACTTCAGCCTATAAACTATAGGGACGGGTGCTCTTAGCAATACTGTAATCGATAAGGCCTGGCCAGGCGTGCGAGGGATTGGAGAGGCCAGCACTACAAATGGTTACCTTCTCCATCCAGTGCTGATGTTCACTGCAACCCGAGTCAGCTGACGAACGGCCCAGGCTACATTTGGATGTTGATGAGAACCATGGAAAATAAATCAAAGCACGGTCGCTAGGATCACGGCACAGCTCGCTTACCCCTGCAACACCGCGTCCACACATTACACACCCAAAAAGACCCATGAATACACACCCAAAATGTATACACGGGGAATTTGTAGAGAATTGTTGCAGCTGTCGATGGGATTCCACCAAAAATGTGAAACTAACCAAAGTGGTGTTTAATTACAGCATTAGTGCCCCAGCACTGACATTACTTGATAGGTGTGAAAAGTTGACCTCCAGACAAGCCCCAGAGGACACGTCAGAATGACAGGCGTGCACTTACACCAGCTGCCTAAGATTGTATGCATACGTTGCTCAAGTGAGGAATTCAAAGTTCACTTACTATTACTGGACTACAGTAAAGGGCTCTTCAATTTGCTGATTTTAGAGTAATGCTGTTATGAGGTCCCTCGAGAATGTGCAGTGTGTATGCGAGGGGTTAGTTTTGTATTACAACTGTGCATTTCGAATTTTTAGGCCCAATTTTGGATTTTACATGGTATGTTGGCATTTCAATCTATTACCTTGTAACATCTTTTGATTTAAAGCTTTCGTGACTGCAGGGATTCATATTCTTGGTTCTTTCGGTAAAGTCACGTTGAAGGGAAACAATAATTTATATTTTTATTATTTTATTGTTTCCCTTCTACGTGACTTTACCGAAAGAACCAAGAATTTGTAACATCTTTGTTGATTCACACACAAAATAATATTTTCAAAATTAACCAATGTATTTATTTACATACATTTGCATCTGTTAAACTATAATTGAATGCAAACGTTTTTATATTTTATCAATTTATGCAAAATATGTTGCGCATCATCAAATTTACGAGTGATGGCATGGAAAAAATCCCATAAGTGACTGCATGAAAAAAAACTCATGGCAAGCGATGCCACTTCCTATTTATCCGAACAAAGATGGCACTTTTCAGGAGGGGGATCATCCTAAATTTCGTATGCAGCTACGGTTTTCAGATATTTTAGGGCCAATGTAATCCAACAATTGGGTACATTTCTCGTCGAGACAAAAGATAATCTGACGGCGGTTGTCCGGGAGAGAGAATCACCCCCCTGCTATAGGAACGTGGAATTCCCATCAACGATTCACAGCGATAATTAGCAATCGGCACCAACCAAAGAATGTTGGAAAGTGGTGATATTGTTAACTTAGAACAAAGGAATTACAGGAATGTTGAGAATGCATGTGATACAATTATTTACCATCCTGCGGCCTATATAGTAAGGTGATATAGAGTACATTCGGTCACTTTATTATCCCAACTACAACTTCCTCGTCAACAACCTATCATTCACCGATTATTACATTAATCCGAGTACGGGCCTGTACTGAAAACCCACACCCATGTGCATTTGGGTGTGTAAACTGCATGGGGAGATCAAATACAGGTCCCATAAGTGCACACACGGGATACACTCAACACATACACGTACAGGATACACTCAACACATACAGGATACACTCAACACAACACTCAACACATATACGTACAGGATACACTCAACACATACAGGATATACTCAACACAACACGCAACACATACACGTACAGGATACACTCAACACAACATTCAACACAACACATGCACGTACAGGATACACTCAACACAACACTCAACACATACATGCACGTACAGGATACACTCAAAACAACACTCAACACAACATATACACGTACAGGATACACTCAACACAACATTCAACACAACACATGCACGTACAGGATACACTCAACACAACATTCAACACATACATACACGTACAGGATACACTCAACACAACATTCAACACATACATACACGTACAGGATACACTCAACACAACATTCAACACATACATATACGTACAGGATACACTCAACACAACACTCAACACATACATAAACGTACAGGATACACTCAACACAACAGTCAACACATACATGTACAGGATACACCCAAACACAACACTCAACACATACATACATGTACAGGATACACTCAACACAACATTCAACACAATACACATACATGATACACTCAACACAATATTGAACACAAATAGGATATACTCAACACAACACTCAACACAACACATGCACGTACAGGATACACTCAACACAACACATACACGTACACGTACAGAATACACTCAACACAACACATACAGGATACACTCAACACAACACTCAACACATACATGCACGTACAGGATACACTCAACACAACACACAACACGTACATACACGTACAGGATACACTCAACACAACACTCAACACATACATACACGTACAGAATACACTCAACACAACACTCAACACATACATACACGTACAGGATACACTCAACACTCAACACACCACATACACGTACAGAATACACTCAACACAACACATGCACGTACAAGATACACTCAACACAACACTCAACACATACATACACGTACAGAATATACTCAACACATACACGTACAGGTTACACTCAACACAACACATACACGTACAGGTTACACTCAACACAACACTCAACACAACACATACACGTACAGAATATACTCAACACAACACTCAACACGTACAGGATACACTCAACACAACACTCAACACAACACATACAGGATACACTCAACACAACACTCAACACAACACATACAGAATATACTCAACACAACACTCAACACGTACAGGATACACTCAACACAACACTCAACACAACACATACAGGATACACTCAACACAACACTCAACACATACACGTACACGTACGGAGGACATACACTTCAACGCACATCCCATCAGCGCGGTTGGCTACGTACGGCGCGTAAGAAGTTCACGTGCACCGTAAACTTTTGCAGTGCTGCATGTGTCGTCGGTGTGTCAGCAGCTGTAGCTGTAGCAGCAGGAGCTGTAGCTGTGTCAGCTGTAGCAGCTGTAGCTGTAGCAGCAGCAGCTGTAGCTGTGTCAGCTGTAGCTGTAGCAGCAGCAGCTGCAGCAGCTGTAGCAGCAGGAGCTGTAGCTGCTGTAGCTGTGTCAGCTGTAGCTGCTGTAGCTGTGTCAGCTGTAGCTGCTGTAGCTGTAGCAGCTGTAGCTGCGATGAGACGATCGCCTAGGGCCACAAAATGTTCGACAAGAATTTTAAATCTCCGTTGGCAAATCGCGATCCGCCGGTTGTGGAACTTCCACGCATCGACGACGTGATGGACCAATCGCTTATTCTTGGTTCTTTCGGTAAAAGTCACCACGTAGAAGGGACACAATTAAGTAATAAACAATATTAAACAATTAAATTCTCACGACGTTTCGACTGCAACAAAAAGCAATCATCATCAGGTGTGAAAACTACAAATTTTCTTGCTGTGGTTTTCACACCTGATGATGATTGCTTTTTGTTGCAGTCGAAACGTAGTGATAATTTTATTGTTTAATATTTTCATGATTTAATTGGTTCCCTTCTACGTGGTGACTTTTACCGAAAGAACCAAGAATATGAATCCCTGCAGTCACGAAAGCTTTAAATTAAAAAAAGACCAATCGCTTGTGAACGCAAACCACTGGCTGCTGTTTATCTTTAAAACAAAAACCCCACCACAGCAGGACAGCGATGATCTATTTATAGATTATGCCACACTGAAAGCGATTCGGGTGTAATTATTGAGGGTATATCGTGTGATATGAATGTTTTGAAGAGGTCTTCCACCAATCTCAAGTTTGTCCTTGTGAACCATTATTAGTACGGCAAGCCACGGATTATACACGGTTCGTAGCGTAGACACAGCGCGTGTGTATTCGGAACATTACGAATTCGCATAGATTATACCTTGTACCTACATATACAGAATACACACGCACTGTATACAAACCATGCAGCTGTAAACCCGGCCGCTTTCATTCGATTCTAGGCCACGGCTAACGTCAGTGGCGAGTGATTAGAACCGGGTTCTTGGTGTGTGTGTGTAACACACTCCCATACACTGTTCCGTGTGTACACCATTTACTCTGTGGTATCAATGTGAGTGCTTACATAGATACACACACTTGTGTAGACATACAATAGACACATATAGCACGTGTACTGTAGAATGTGCAGAGTACATGCATAGTGTACACGTATTAATATTGTATATACATTTGTACCAGAGTACACGTGTTGTGTAGCGTGTTATATATCTATACAACATACTACACACGTGTATGTAGTATGTGTATAGTATATACAGTATGTGTACACGTGTGTGTAGCACACAGCATGTACTACACACACACACTGCACTATATGTGTGTACTAAAGTACTAAAGTACACACATATAGTGCAGTGTGTACTATGTGTGTACTAGTGCAGCGTGTACTATATGTGTGTACTAAAGTGCACACATATAGTGCAGTGTGTGTGTAGTACATGCTGTGTGCTACACACACACACGTGTGTACACATACTGTACACGTGTGTGTGTGTAACAGAGTGGGTACGAATAGTACGTGCTATTGGTTATGTGTGTGTACGTACACACAGTGCACACGTGTGTCTGCATGTGTATAACGCGGAGGAGAAACGTGAACACCGCGACCTGCCGGCAATGGACCACGTGCGCGCGACCCGTCTTGTACACAACACAAAGACGCAAACCGCATGTTCCACTCAACTCACCTGTTCCCGACCCACCCTCACTTTGACGCGAGTTTAATTAACTTTAATTAAAGTTGAGGAACCCTGTGAAGGGGGGAGGGAGGGGTGCTGGTTTCTTTTTTTGAGAAGACACAAAATCTTGAATTCGCGTCGCACCGATCCGCGGGAACTAGCGGGTCGCATAGCGCCCAGGTGGCGCGGCCCACCTGCGTGACGTCACTCCCCGGTGACGTCACCGAGTGGGAGGATTCCTGGACAACCCCCCCCCCACCCTCACGGCACGTCGGGGGGGGGGAGGGGCTTGCGGCACGGCTTGCGCGATGACGTCACATCACGCGCCCTAACGCGTCGTGACGTCACCGCGCGCACGCGCGCCCACGGCGTGACGCGTGCGACGTCGTCGCTCGATGTGCCTGTGACGTCACACCCCCCTCGTCAACAAAAGTATGGCAATCCCGGCGATACTCTTTGGTTCTTTCGGTAAAGTCCCGTAGTTAGAACTATTATTTCTAACTACGTAAAGTCACTAGGTAAAGTCCCGTAGTTAGAACTATTATTTCTAACTACGTAAAGTCACTACGTAAAGTCCCGTAGTTAGAACTATTATTTCTAACTACGTAAAG